CCTTAGCAACCACCTAGCAACACCTTAGCAACCACCTAGCAACCACTTGGGACACCTTAGCAACCGCCTAGCAACACCTTAGCAACCACCTAGCAACCACTCACAACACCCTAGCAACTGCCTAGCAACGCCTTAGCAACCACCTAGCAACCACTCAGGACACCCTAGCAACCACCTAGCAACACCTTAGCAACCACCTAGCAACCACTCAAGACACCCTAGCAACCACCTAGCAACGCCTTAGTAACCACTCAGAACACCCTAGCAACCATCTAGCAACCACTTAGGACACCTTAGCAACCACCTAGCAACACCTTAGCAACCACCTAGCAACCACTCAGAACACCCTAGCAACCGCCTAGCAACACCTTAGCAACTACCTAGCAACCACTTAGGACACCCTAGCAACACCTTAGCAACCACCTAGCAACCACTTAGGACACCCTAGCAACCGCCTAGCAACACCTTAGCAACCACCTAGCAACCACCTAGCAACCACTCAGGACACCTTAGCAACCACCTAGCAACACCTTAGCAACCACCTAGCAACCACTCAGAACACCCTAGCAACCGCCTAGCAACACCTTAGCAACCACTCAGGACACCCTAGCAACCACCTAGCAACACCTTAGCAACCACCTAGCAACCACTCAGGACACCCTAGCAACCACCTAGCAACGCCTTAGCAACCACTCAGAATACCCTAGCAACCACCTAGCAACCACTTAGGACACCTTAGCAACCATCTAGCAACACCTTAGCAACCACTCAGAACACCCTAGCAACCGCCTAGCAACACCTTAGCAACCACCTAGCAACCACTCAGAATACCCTAGCGACCACCTTGCAACACCTTAGTAACCACTTAGCAACTAGTCAGAACACCTTAGCAACTGCCTAGCACCACCTTAGCAACCACTTAGCAACCACTCAAAACACCCTAGCAACCGTCTAGCAACACCCTAGCAACCACCTAGCAACTAGTCAGACCACCTTAGCAACTGCCTTGCACCACCTTAGCAACCACCTAGCAACCACTTAAAACACCCTAGCAACCGCCTAGTAAAATGCTAATTCATGCTAGAATCATGCTAACAACATGCTAATTCATGCTAGAATCATGCTAGTAACATGCTAATTTATGCTAGATTTATGCTAACAACATGCTAATTCATGCTAGAATCATGCTAGTAACATGCTAATTCATGCTAGAATCATGCTAACAACATGCTAATTCATGTAAGAATCATGCTACTAACATGCTAATTCATGCTAGAATTATCCTAGTAGCATGCTAATTCATGCTAGAATCATGCTAGTAACATGCTAATTCAACCACTTCAAACTTTCAGATTCGGCTTTTCAAGCCACCATAAAGTTTGTCCTCAAACTTTAATATCTAGTTTTAATTGCGCTGCATGTCAGAGATGTTTGTGGTGCGGCTGTTGATTAGTTTTATTACTCAATGAAATCTCGGGAATGCGTTCACCTCATAAACTGGGCTTTGTACCACAACACAGGGCAAGTGTTTAAGAGCTAACACGGGAAAGATTCTTGTTAGGGCAGGACTGTTGAATCCAGAAAGACTTGAGATAATTATGTTACCCGTCATTCAGCAAACGCGGTTGTTGCTAGAAGAGATACAGCTGCGGCCGGAAGTTAACGAGAATTATTTATTTCATATAATAGGTTATCAATTAGTTATATTTTATTAAGGTCTACCCCAAACCCAACACTCACAGTACAGTAATTATACCGAGTATTATTCATGTTATTTATTAACCTATTCATAATTATTGAAGTCTACCTACCCCATCTATAAACCCAACCCTCACCGTATTATAAAAAACTGTAATTTCACCGAGTATAATTTATAAAATTACACATTAAAATGTATTTTATTAATGTCTACCCTCAAGCTGAACCCAACCCACACGAATTTGAAAACAAGTATCGAATATTGATCATATTGTTTATTAAATTACTTATTTTATTTTATTAACGTCTACACCTCACAGTAATGTGAAATAAAAATTATTTTTGTACAGTCTCACAAAAATTATGCTAGATTGATGGAATCCGCAGCTGTATCCCTTCTAGCCTTTACCCGCATGGCAACATCAAGTAGAAAGCGAGTTCTCGTTAGCGTGTTAGTCTCGCTCAAACAATGAAGTTGAAACTGGTTGTTGGATTAAGTGTTCACGAAGAAGTGTTCACACATCTGGCTGTCACTTCTGCTCATTCAGTTTTCCTCCCTGTCCTGGGAGTACAACACAATGTAACGCATAAACACGAACAGCCTGTCAGATTAACACAACGTTCGCCAGTTCACCTGTTGAAGAAAACAACACATTCTGGAAAGGTAGGTTTTGACACTCGGTTGCTGATTTAAGATGATTTTTGCTGGTCGTGAGCGGCTTTAAGAGGGTTAGTTCACCTAAAAAACATGTTTTTTATGCATATTGTGCTCGGCCGCACTGCTGACGTATACCGCTGATTAGGGTTGCCAGGTTTTCACAACAAAGGTAGCCTCGAATGCCCAAAACCAGCCCTGAACTCAAAATATGCCATTCCTGTATGTAAAAAAACAATTATTTACATCATGGAATGCATTATACAGTTCTCTCTCTCTCTTTTTAAAATTACTGTATTTTGGTAATGCTAAACATTCAACGCTTCAGATTGACATCTGATGAACTCAGTCCTCCAGCTTGTAGTGATGCTTTTTTTTTTTTAGTTTTGTTTGAATATATTTTGCATCACTATTTATTTAAACATTTTGTTTTACTTATAAAGGTTCAATTAAATATAGGCCTGTAGCCAGCCTGGTGAAAAGGGATGTTCTTTTTTTCTTGAAATATGGACCCTTTTGCAGTTATAAGCCTTATTTTCTATTTAATCGTGAGGTTTAAATACCATTTAAGCACTATCTTTTGCATGAATTAGCTTGTCAGATGGTCATCAACCACATTTTTTGATGTACCAAAAGCATTTCCTAAAGATTTAGAAGAAAAAAATATGAGAATAATGCTTATTTTTCCAAAACAAATTTATTACATCATATATCATTAGAAAAAAAAGGATGCTGCTCAAGTTTTCAATTAAAAACTAGCCGATTGTCATTTATTAGGCAAACACAAACTGGCCAGCACATTCAACTTACCTCAGTCACACTGAAGCAACGGCCAAAAGAGGATTCCGCTTGGTCTCAAAGTCTTCTACGATAGTTATTTTCACAATTTATTATGGCATAGCAGTCAAAATAGGACAAATTCAGGACACCCACGCCAACACAGGGGGAACATGCAAACTCCACACAGAAACGCCAACTGACCCAGTCAGGGCTCGAACCAGCAACCTGTAATACTGTAATAAAATTACCAATAAAGACACTGAATACACACCTTGTTTCTTTTTTATTCACATCCTTCTGGTAAAGCAGAGTTCACTTATTCAAGAAATGAACAGCTGATGTGCTGGTCACATTCAAACCATATACACTTTAAAAAACACCAAACATCTGTCTAAAACGTGTGCTTTTACATCACATGCTCCTAAGCCACAAATACAGACAAAACAGGAAAACACGATTTGTACACGGTCAGACCCACACATTCAGAGATCCGGGGTTTCCATCATGGCACATGGGCATCTTGTTGATGAGGCTTAAAGCAATGTTTCCCACTCAGCACAAGTTTGAGTGCCGACATCTAAAATCATCTGTCTGAGAAATAAAAGAATCTGTGTATGAGTCACGATTAAACGCTAAATTAATGCTCAATTATATTACAGTTTGAGAAATGAAACTAGTTGGACAACAACTTTACAAGAAGGGTGCGTTAGTCAGTGTTTGTATAGTATTGTTAAAATCATTTCACAACCACAAACAATATGCGATTCTGAGTGCGCCTCACACAGGTGAGTGGGCTTGACAAACCACCTGTAGAAAACACACTCTTTCATCTCTCTAAGACGTTAACAGACATATGCACCAGTTTTTGCACCATACACTTTCTTAAAATCACTCCATATCTCTTAAAACATTGTGCATTTCTGAGTGTGCCTCAAGCAGGTGAGTGGGCTTGACAAACCACCTGTAGAAATCACTCTCTTTAGTCTCTTTGAGACGTTAACAGACATATGCACCGGTTTTTGCACATTTGCTTTCCTAAAATCACGCTATATCTCTCAAAAGCATTGTGCATTTCTGAGTGTGCCTCAAACAGGTGAGTGGGCTTGACAAACCACCTGTAGAAAACACTCTCTTTAGTCGTTCTGAGACGTTAACAGACATATGCACCAGTTTTTGCACCATACACTTTCTTAAAATCACTCCATATCTCTTAAAACATTATGCATTTCTGAGTGTGCCTCACACAGGTGAGTGGGCTTGACAAACCACTTGTAGAAAACACTCTCTTTAGTCGCTCTGAGACGTAAACAGACATATGCACTGGTTTTTGCACCAGACACTTTCTTAAAATCACTCCATATCTCTCAAAAACATTGTGCATTTCTGAGTGTGCCTCAATCAGGTGAGTGGGCTTGACAAACCACTTGTAGAAAACACTCTCTTTAGTCTCTCTGAGACGTTAACAGACATATGGACCAGTTTTTGTACCAGACACTTTCTTAAAATCACTCCATATCTCTTAAAAGCATTGTACTTTTCTGAGTGTGCCTCACACAGGTGAGTGGGCTTGACAAACCACCTCTCTATAGAGAAAACTCCCCATTGAATTCTCTCCACACTAACTTCCTTTGTGTAATCAGCCCTTGTTGTGTGTGTTGTCTCGATGCCTCGTCATTTGGAAGTCACTTTGGACAAAAGAATCTGCTAAATGACTTAACGTTAATTATTCATTCATTCATTTATTCATTCATGTTCTTGTCGGCTTAGTCCCTTTATTAATCCGGGGTCACCACAGCGGAATGAACCACCAACTTATCTAGCACGTTTTTAAGCAGCGGATGCCCTTCCAGCCGCAACTAATCTCAACCCTAACCCTAACCCATCACTCATTCACAAACACACTCATACACTATGGATAATTTAGCCTACTCAGTTCCCCTATAGCGCATGTGTTTGGACTGTGGGGGAAACCGGAGCACCCGCAGGAAACCCACGCCAACAAGGGGAATACATGCAAACTCCACATAGAAATGCCAACTGACCCAGCCAGGGCTCAGATCAGCAACCTTTTTGCTGTGAGGTGCTAACCACCTCATTATTTTATATTATTCAATTATTTAGGATATGCTCATTTCCTGAATTAATCTGTGTGTTCATCGACAGCGTGTTTCAGATGCCAGCCTCAATCTTCACTTGTGCTGAACTGAAACATTGCTGTAATATCACTGACGACATCATTACAGCACAAACAGGCTCAAAATATCAGCTCGACCTCTGTTTTTCTTTTAAAGCAGAATGATTAAGTCTGGATCTTCTGGCATCGGCAGTTTACTTCAATCAAGTGCTATTCTAACAGAGCTTGTGCAGGATAACACATGTACTGCAAACAACTCGCTCGTCATGATCCGAGTGCAAATCACGCACTTCTGCAGCTCTCAATAAATTAAAAAAGCTATTAAAAACAACAGGGGTAATAATAATATTTACATTATTCTGAGTCTTGCATGTCCGCTGTTGATGATGTATAAAATGGCTCGTCTCCTCGGCATTCGGAAACTCTGAAATGACATTCAGTCTATGTGCGCACTTCTCATTTGCTTTCAGTTTGTCTGTGTTCGCCACATTAATAATGACGCAGACAGGGTCATTTATCCACTTGTATTTGCATCCACTGTCGCTCTGGAACTGAAAGACATCTCTGGGTTATGTCCATGTCGTCCACATCTGTCCTTAAGGTGCTTCTTGTCTGCTTTCTTGTCTGCAGTCGAGTTGCTGTGGTTTCAGCTTGTGCTCTGTGATCGCACTGTAAATAGTCAAAAATAAAAAATTTGCTAGTTAGTTAGAATCAAATTGCAGCTTTTTACAATCTAGAGCACATTTCTCAATGCTTCAGTGAACTTTAAACAAAACTCTTAACAGTTCTTTACACATTTAAAGAAACACAACACATACAACATGTTTACAGAATTAAACAGCTATGTTTTATTATTTCTAAATACATTCAACTGGTCTGGCCGGAGCACTTTTAGCTTAGCTTAGCATAAATCATTGAATCGGATTAGACCATTAGCATTTTGATCAAATTTATTTATTTTTTTAAATAGGCTCATTTTACAGAGTTAAACAGTTGAGTTTTATTCTTTCATTCATTTTCTTGTCGGCTTAGTCCCTTTATTAATCCGGGGTCACCACAGCGGAATGAACTGCCAACTTATCCAGCATATTTTTACGCAGCAGATGCCCTTCCAGCCGCAACCCATCTCTGGGAAATATCCACACACACACACACATACACTACGAACAATTTAGCCTACCCAATGCACCTGTGCCGCATGTCTTTGGACTGTGGGGGAAACCGGAGCACCCGGACCCACGCGAATGCAGGGAGAACATGCAAACTCCACACAGAAACGCCAAGTGAGCCAAGGTTCGAACCAGCGACCTACTTGCTGTGAGGCGGCAGCACTACCTACTGCACCACTGCGTCGCTCCAGTTGATTTTTACCATTTCTGAATCCATTCAATTTATCTCAGTGCCTGGCAGGAGCATGTTTAGCTTAGCTTAGCATAAATCATTGAATCGGATTAGACCATTAGCATTTTGGTCACAAATGTAAGAAAAACTTTTATTTTATTTTTTTTTAGAAATATGCTCAGTTTATACAGTAGTAAAACAGTTGAGTTTAATTCTTTCTGTATCCATTCAACCAATCTCTGGGTCTGGAGGGAGCATAGCTTAGCTTAGACCATTAGCATTTTTAATCAAAAATAATGATAACATTTATTATTATTATTATTATTATTATTATTATTTTATATACATAATATTATTATTTTATTTATTTATTTATTTATTTATTTATTTATTTATTTATTTATAGGAAATATGCTCATTTTAGAGTTAAAGTTAAACAGTTGAGTTTTACAATTTCTGAATCCATTCAACCAATCTCTGGGACTGGCACTTTTAGCTTAGCTTAGACCATTAGCATTTTTGCTCAAAAATAATAATAACATTTATATATATATATATATATATATATATATATATAATTATTATTATTATTTTATTTTTATTTTTTTCTGATTCAGCTGATTTCCGGGTCTGGCAGGAGCACTTTTAGCTTAGATTAGCATAGATCATTGAATCAGATTAGACCAGGGGTCACCAATCTCTGTACTGGAGGGTCGTTGTCCCTGCAGGGTTTAGCAACTTGCCTCAACACACCTACCTGGATATTTCAAGTACACCTAGTAAGACCTTGATTAGCTTGTTCAGGTGTGTTTGATTAGGGTTGGAGCTAAAACCTGCAGGACACCGGCCCTCCAGGAACAAGTTTGGTGATCCCTGGATTAGACTATCAGCATCTCATTAAAAAAAACACCCTTCTGTAGTTACGTAGAACACAACAGAAGTTGTGGTCAGAGATTATAAATGTCAATCATTGTGTGTTTATATGTTCGGCTCAAGGTGTATATGGCTGGTTGTTGGCCTCTATAAAGTGATATTAATGAGCGATGTCTGACCTGTCCTGTGTGCAGTTCAGTTTTCTGTGTCGGAGCAGCTGGCCACGGCTCCAAACACCTCCAGTGGCTCTGAAGTGTGAGACGCCGCTCCTTCTGATGGGAACCGGCTGTAAGAAAACACAAACATTAACCCTTCTGTTGACTGATGGGTTAAAAATGACCCGGGCGGCATTTTAGCAGAAGAACAAAACTAAACAATTTTTGTTTATTTTTTTATCTTGAAATTTGGTGGCATTTTCTAAAATGACCCCATCATTAGAAAAAAATATAGGAAATAATAATAATAAAAAATATATGTAGGAAATACAGAAAATTAATTGCTCTGTTAAACATTATTTGTGAAATATTTTTAAAAAATAAAAAAATAGTACGTATAAACCCTGAATGAACGTTTTGAAGAGCTGATGCGTAGCAGCCTCACACACACGTGTGTCTCCAGGCTTCTTCTCACCTGCTGTGTGTTGGACTGCGGCTGTATGCAGGACTATAAGCCCCAGCGCTCAAGGGACCGTCCGGCAGTTCTCCATCCGCCAGACCCACTGCTAACTGATTCTGCCAGTTTCCCCCTCCGCTAGCAGTCGACGACACTAGAGAGAAACAGAGGCGTGATGTGTTAAACAATGTTCATCAGAAGAGGCGAAACTGTCCCCACAATGATATGGTGCTGCGTTCGAGCTCTAGAGCTTTGGTCTCAGAAATAAAGGTAAGACAGCTGTTACTGGGGTGGTTCCTTTTCAAAAGGTACACATTTGTACTTAAAGGGTCCATGTTGGTACCTCAAAAGTATATATTAGTACCAATATTTTTTAGACTGGAACACTTTTGTACTTTTTAGGTATCAATATGTACCCTTGAGATATTATTATGGACCTTTCAGGTAAAGATTTGTACATTTTGAAAAGGCACCACCCCAGTGACAGCTCACGCACCTTTATTTCTGACAGTGTTATGGTCACTATCCCAGCAAGCATTTTTCTTGTTAAAAATAAGTCTAAGGGTGTGTTTCCTCTGGCACGATGGGAGTGCCAAGCATTTTCAGTTCTTTCATACGGAAGTTGAGCATAAACAGCTATGCAGTCACTATGAGATTGAAATTGGCATGCGCTATGGGATTGAAGATGGAATTAGGAGTGCCAGAAACGGTGGGCATTTCTCGACTTTATGCAAATGTCAAGCGAAAATCTCTAAGCAGAAACCAATCACTGTGGAAAAACAGGCAAGGCAAGATGCTCCAACTTTCTGATAGCAAAAGTGTAACTTTAGGCTGCGTGTCCACCGAAGTGTTTTGTACTGCACAAATGCAAACGCTGCTCTAAAAACTGTCAGCTACAGAGTAGTGTTGTCGTGATAGTGGAACTTGGTACCAATGGATACTAGGCTTGGGCGGTAATCGGGTAATATGGTATACGGCGGGATCTAAAAATAGCAACCGTGTCAGTTCAATACCGTTATACCGTCATAAAGACAATGCACTGAAATAGGAGACAAATATTAAATAATAAATACTATTTATTTAATGCCTACAAATACGTATGCGTGATTGTCATGACGGGACAGTGGAGGAGAGAGAGAGAGAGAGAGGTGAGGTTGGATTTCGAGTCTCGCACCAAGTCACCTGCAGTGTGTGTGTGTGTGTGTGTGTGTGTGTAAATAAGAGAGCATGCTGTCTGTGTGTCAATTGGTTCTCCCCCCCCCCTCTCTCTCTCTATGTGTGTTTGTGTGAATGAGAGAGAAAGAGAGAGAGAGACACACACACAGCATCTACGTGGATGCGTGTGTGCTCGGGAGCGATATTGTAAAAAGTTACTGACCACTCCCGCGCTTTTTTCAGAAACACACACACGCACGCACACACACACACACACACACACACACACACATATACAATGAAAGAAAGAGCAGGCGTGGTGCTGTGCGTCTCTCTCTCTCTCTGTGTGTGTGTGTGTGTGTGAGTGAGAGAGAGAGAGAGAGAGAGAGGGAGTGTGGTGCTATGCATCTCTCTCGCACTCTGTGTGTGTGTGTGTGTCCCATTCAGATCTCTAACACGAACAAGACAAACAGCTGACCGCGAACCTCAGGTCGCATATACGGTATTCAGTTTCTGGATGATTTAGGCTCAAGCCAACAGTTTGGTGACGCTGTCTGAGCCTTACGTCATATTTTTTTATTATACACGGTAATACCGGATACCGGGGTAAAATAGGGAGGAGGTTTAACGGTATCAAAATTTGGATACTGCCCAAGCCTAATGGATACTGAAGATTTAAAAACGTCCATTTGCCGCTAACATTTGAGTGTTGTTGATGAATCGCAGCTCCAGTGTTCCTGTATCTGTGGTTACACTCAGTAAACGGCGGTGAGTTGGATGAACTGATGTCAGTCATTTCTGATGAGCACGTTAACACAATGGTAGATCAGCGGTGTTTAAGAGTGTGCTCAACAGCGCTCAAATGTTAGCGGGAAATAGACATTTATAAATTTCAGTACTGATAGGTACCACACTCCAGTATTGTGACAACACTACTACAGAGTATCCTGCGGTTCCATTACAAGTTTAAGTGTTTAGCAGATTATTTGTTGACTGTTGTGGGGTATAGTTGCACTCCTACTCCACTGTGATTGGGCAGCTAGCTCAAAAGAATAGCCCAAATCTAGACTAGTTTAGAGTGATTACTTTAAGAATAGAGTTTTTGCGGCCAAGTAGAAACTTTTTCATGACCTGGTACTGGGTCACGACCCGGTGGATGGGAACCCCTTCCCTTTTCTACATTATGTTATGTTTGATGTTATAAGTGTACTCACCTGAGGAGAAGGAGTTGGTCCGGCTGGAGTGGCTGAAGGGTGCGGGCAGCGTCTGGTAGCCCAAGCTGTGCTGGGAACCGCGGTCATACTTGTAGGTGTACACCAGCTGATAGGTGCCTGGGTCCCTATGCCCAGCACTGCGGTTGTACCATCCCTTTAAATGCTCTGCCACCAAAGCCCTGTACATGTTCTTCGTCAGCACCTCATTCAAGGGTCCCTGCCTTCCTCTAGGGGGCCTAACGGTGGCATATGGATTCTGTGACAAATTATCCAAACCTTCTATTCCATAATGCCTGTTGCGACCCCGGCCCTGGTAGCCATGTGCAGGGTAAGTGGGATTGATGTTATAGTGACCCTCTATTTCGCTCTCGTAAACATAAGCTCCATTGGAACAAGGCTCATAATCGAAGCCAGCATACCCAGCGACGTAGTAAGCAGTTGGTCCGTAGTGGTTCTGCTGGTAGGAACTGGAGTTTTGAGGGACCAGGTTGGGCATGCTGCCTGTATTGCCATAGATCTCCACTTTGCGGTGGAGCCGGTAGTCGTGGGAGTGTGAGTCCAGGGTGCGGTAAGGAGGAGTAGCCGAGCAGGGGAGGCAGAAGTCCATGCTGGACATGCTGGTATAGGAGGAGCAGTCGTCCAACACCTCAGTGCTGTTGCTGCGGCGGGAGGGAGACAGCGGGAAGACAGACTTGTTTGCACAGTGAGAATGGAAAAGTTGTGACTGAGACTCCAAACTGCCACTGCGATGCCGGAAAGCTCGGATGTGACCGTCTGACCTACAGGAGAGAAATACATATGACTTGTTTGTTTGGGCTGAAGAGAGTGCACTGACTAACCTAAACCTGTGGTGATCAGCCTGGTGATCTTAATGAGCTGATTTGGGTTGATAAATCAAGATCAGAGCTAAGGTTTGCAAGAAGGCAGATCTCAAAGGTAGAGGATTACGTAGACTTGACCTAATCTTCCTGCATCAAAGAGAAAATCACCTAGATCGGGGAGGACAAGTTTGGTTCTGAGGAGTCACAGTCTGCAGAGTTGTGCTTCAACCCTAATCAAATACACTTGAACAAGCTAGTAAAGGTGCTAGGGAGTGACAGGTCTTTTTCTCAAAACTGAACAGAACTGTGACTGAGGCTCAAAATTGTCCTTGCATTGCTAAAAACCTTGGATGTGACCTTCCGACCTACAGGATACAAATAAGTATGCCTTGTTAGTTTGAGAGTGCACTGACTAACTTAAACCTGTGGTGACCACTCATTCTCCTGGCGATCTTAATGAGCTAGTTTGAGTTTGCTAAATCAAGATTAGAGCTAAAGTTTGCAGGAAGGCAGATCTCAAAGGTATTAGATTAAGCACCTTGACCTAATCTACTTGCAGTCTATATGGGGAAGGGTAAATTTGGTTCTGAGGAGTCACAATCATGCTGAGTTTTGCTCCAACCCTAATCAAATACCCTTGAACAAGCTAGTAAAGGTGCTAGAGAGTTACAGGTATTTTTCTCAAAACTCTGTAGAACTGTGACTGGGGTACCAAACCGTCGATGCAATTCCGCAGATGTGACCTTCCGACCTTCAGGATAGAAATAAGTATGCCTTGTTAGTTTGAGAGTGCACTGACTAACTTAAACCTGTGGTGACAATTAATCCTCCTGGTGATCTTAATGAGCTAGTTTGAGTTTGTTAAATCAAGATTAGAGCTAAAGTTTGCAGAAGGGCAGATCTCAAGGTATAGGATTAAGCACTCTTGACCTAATCTAATTGCAGTCTAGATCAGGAAGGGTAAGTTTGATTCTGTGGAGTCACAATTGTGCAGAGTTTTGCTCCAACCCTAATCAAATACACTTGAACAAGCTAGTTTAGGTGCTAGAGAGTTACAGGTATTTTTCTCAAAACTCTGTAGAACTGTGACTGGGGCTCCAAACTGTCGATGCAATTCCGCACCGTGACCTTCCGACCTACAGGATAGAAATGAATATGTCTTGTTTGCTTGTTGAAAGAGAGTGCACTGACTAACCTAAATAAGAGGTGCCTAGTTCTGTCCCATGTAATATATCAAGCCAGCCCTGCTCCAACACACTGGTCTATATTCATCAAGGGCTCCTGAAGATCTTAATGAAATGGTTTGTGTGTGCTAAATCAAAGTTGAAGCTAAACTTTGCAGGAAGGCTGATAGGATTCAGTATTCTTGACCTACACTACTTGCAATGACAGTCTTACACAAACAAAACAATGGCTGACCTGCTATTATTAAGGGCTGATGTGAAGATGATGGAGTCGATCAAAATAAAGGTTATAATTTGGAGACAAATAATTATGAAGGGATGGCGTTCGGCAGATTCAGCATCATTTCAAGTATGGGTTACAAAATTGGCAGCGTATTGGTGATGGGAAGTTCGGATCATTTTACTGACTCGGATCTTTGAGTCTCGTTCATCAAGATGAACGAATCTGTTTTCGAGTCATTTCGTTCATTTGGTTCAGTTTGCCAAAATATTATTACAATGTTACGAATTGCTTCCAAACACATCTACAACTAGCCCAAAAGGTTGATTGCACAACAAATAAGTCATAAATAGAAAATATGAAGGAGAAAATAATAATTCAATGTTGACCTGCTCTTTTGTCTATGAAGATATTGTTGTCTCTTTGCTCAGCTCACCTCTTCATGTCTTCAAATGTCAAGGGTTCATTCACGTTACACTGACAGTCACATATAATCTTAATCAATGCACAGTCTAAGCCGATAGGAGCCATGACCGTTCGTTCATCACGTGACAGAATGACTCAAACCCGAGGACTCGAGAGATGAACAGTTCAATTCTTTTTCCGGCTCTAAACACTTATGATTGGCCCGTGAGGAACGAGAGACTCAGACCCGATAGAGGACTTGAGAGATGAACGGATCAATTCTTTTTCCAGCTCTAAACGCATATGATTGGCTTGTGATGAACGAGTGACTCAGACCCGATAGAGGACTGGAGAGATGAACGGGTCAAAACTTTTTCCGGCTCCAAATGCATATGATTGGCTCTTGATGAACGAGAGACTCAGACCCGATAGAGGACTCGAAAGGTGAGCGGATCAATTCTTTTTCCGACTCTAAACGCATATGATTGGCTTCTGCCAATGGACTTGAAATTAACGATACTACCTGCACAAGTGTGCGCACGCACGGATGAACGAATCACTCCCTGAGAGGACTCGTAGTTCCCGAGTCATATTGATGATTCGTTCAAAATGAACGAGACGTTCATGAATGACCCATCACTACAGCGTATGCGAAAGTGACGAAACTACTTGATAAAATGGAAGTTTTCCAGGGAAGGTATGACAAATATCTACCATTCTAAAAAAGGCTGAATAAGGTATTTGGGTCCCACTTTATATGTTTTGCTTCACTATTTCTTTAAGTACTTTGCATCAAAAAGTAAATACAATGTACTAACACTTGTGGTGCTCTTGAGGTGGATAAGGGTCGGGTTAGGGACAGGTTTGGGAGTATGGGTAGGTTTAAGGGTGGGTTAAGGTGTGAAGGAGGTCACCAGTATAATTACAGATTTGCCTTCATACTTCTGAATTCTGACTTTGCTGCTCTGGCAATCACAGTTCTGTAACGCTAGCAGGCAGTGGGGTTTCTGTGTTCCACTGTGCCAAGTTCATTCACCAGTGTTGTGGGTTCATGCCGAAAATGCATGCAATGTTACTGTAGAGGTAGCTTAAACTTACACTCATTCCAGGAAGAAAGAGTTGGCAACTTTGAACAACTTTAATCATAAAATAAACACAAAATACAGGTATGTTACTGCTGGAGTGTATAATAAATATAACAACAAGTATACTACAGGACTGAACACTTGCTAGAAACACTTCCCACCTGCTTCGCACTGCTCCCACAGCTCTTACCCCTCCAAATCACCAATCACAGGTTATGCGTCTGTGTAAAGGCAATGGTGCGCCCACTCTGTGCACTCGATGAATAAGTATAACTTGGCCTTAAGTTGGCCTTAAGATTGAGGAGCCACAGTCCTGCAGAGTTTACTCTGACCATAACCAAAGACACTTAAAAAACCTGTTAAGGTGCTAGAAAGCTAGGTGCGTAAGTTTCTAAAGGTATTTCTCTTTAAGAAACTTAAACTTGGACATGAAGAAACTGTAGAATTGCACCATAATTCAAGGGTGTTGTTAGTGATGGTTTCTGAGTGGTTGTTAGTGGGATGTTACTGAACTTACCGGAGTTGACTGCTGCTGTAGGCATTACGGGGCAGGACTGGGGTCTGTGGTAAACTGCGGGGATCCTTTGGCATTCTGGATAAAGTTTTACAGGGACTGCTCTGGGCGGAGAAAACCTCTCGAGGGGTATAATAATGTCCAGGCTCTTGCACCTCATGATCTAATCTGAAAGAGAAATGTCCAGTGATTATTAAACCAAGAGCTCAGACGACGAGTCTTGCCTGTATTGAACATGTCTAGGTAACCTTTCAGACCAAAATCTAAAGACAAAAGAGATGTCGAGACATGAAGTGACAAAAGAAATGTTTCGTGTATAAGGACAATGATTATTTAGAGTTGACCTACAGATTTGTGCATGGGAAGTGGCGTACGCACATTTTCGCACCCGTTTTGTGCATGTGCCATGTTTATAAATGAGACGTGCTTGACTGTTGTGTTGATACAGTAAATGTAGGTAGCAGGTTTGGGTGATAGATCACTTTATCTATTAACTTGATTGTGTAGTTTTCATCGATTTGTTTAAATGAAACTTGGGCTGCGTCCGAAACCGCCTACTACTCAGTAGGTACTGCATTTAAATTTAAACGTACTACTCGGCCGTTAGAAAAGTACGTTCTATACAGTATGAATGTGAAAAGTATGAATGAAATTCGGACGCACTACATCCGCCATTTTGACATAGTCACGTGATGTACCTGCGTAATTTGCGAAGCTTCACTCCTATTCATGAATTCGCTCGCGGGGCATCCTGGGATAGCGCAGCATGCATGGGATGTGCACTCTAGAATCTCGCCGGAAGTAGTAAGTCATCCGGGTACTTCTCGCATACTGTTTTTCGAATTCTATGAATTCGGACATACTAATCGGCTCGCATACTGATTTTAGCATACTATATAGTATGGAAGTATGCGGTTTCGGACGCAGCCTTGGTTTTCGTTCTGAAATACAAACAGGGTGGGACAGAGTAGCTCCTCCTCTTTTTAAAAACAGCCAATAGTGTTTAGTTTCTCACCACTCTGCCAGTGAGAGTGCTTGAGCTGAAGTGCATCAAATGAACAGCCAATGAGAAGAAGGGGGTGGGGCATGTCAGACACTAGAAAGCATTTGATTGGTCAGAAAATTTGATGAGAAACTGAATTATGAGGTGACGACCAAAAAATCTACGACAAACTGCAGTTTAGGATGTTTACATCAGATCCAAACCTGATCATCTTCTAAAAAAAGCTAATAGATATCCTTAAAACGAACATACTGATACTAACATCTAAAAAACAAGACCTATAACGCTGCAAAGAAAAATAAATAAAAACACTGTTACAAAACTCTGTAAATAAAAACAATAACATGTAACCCACTAGCCTAGCGTGAGCAATTTATATGAACTGATATTGTGCAAAATAAATTGAATAAACGTGTTAAAATAAACAGTACAAAACAATATGTAAATAAATTCTCTTTATACAGTTTTTTACAATCATTACAAATTTATTTTCACTTTGATTTTATAAAATGTTTTAATTATTATTATGATTACTATTACTGTTATTATGAATACTATTATCATCATTATGCATTTGTAAATAAATCTTTATTATGTCATTATATCTGTTTATTTAACAGAGACAATGTTACGACAAAGACGCACCTGTTCAGAGGTCTGTCGTGGTGTGTGTCGCTGGATGAAGATCGTCTCTCGGGGTCGAAATCCAGCCCGGATGAAGACAGAGGAGGACTGAGACATGGAGAACACTGCACTGATCGAGAACGCGGCCTCTGACCGCCATCATCTGAACACACAGATCACAGTTAGTGACTGACTCTGCTGCATTTGCTTTAAAAATACAAGTTAAAAACAAACTATTAAGTCTTATAAATGTCGTCCATTAGCCATCAGAGTGTTTGAGCTGCTGAAGAGAATGTCAGCATAGACTAAGAGGATTATAGATGTGGAGTTTTAGATGAACAGAGACATAGACTGACAGAAGCATGAAGCACACATGCACACTTGACCAGCACTCAGAACACTATGGTGACACACAGGCATTTGTAGCTCCGCCCTCTTACTGAAAAGAGCACAGTCTCATTTGAATTTAAAGTGACAGTCACCAAAACAAGGGATAGTTCATACAAAAATATATTTTACTCACTAATCTCTCTCCCTTCAAGTGTTTTTAAACACTTATGCCTTTCTTTCTTTTTGTTAAGATATTTTTTAAAATGCTGAAAACCAGTAACCATCCACTTTTGAAAATTCTATACTATGTAAGTCAATGGTTACCGGTTTTCAGCATACTTCAAAATATCTTCTTTTGTGTTTAATTGGATACTACTTACTTTGTAAGTGTTTAAAAAGTAAAGCATGACAGAGTTTGAGTTTTTTTGGTGAACTGTCCCTTTAAATGGTTGGTTTTGCATGATGAGTGATCTGTTATGAGTGTGTTAAGCAGCACGCAATGCTGACGGAGATGGCACTGGAAGTGGGGTAATGTGTTGTAATAAATCTTAATTAGATGGCACAGAGAGCTGATAGCGGTTTGATAATTGATGTCATTACCGTCATCGAGAGGAAGACTATCACACAGAGAGCTGCACTCGGACTGAGCCAGTTCATCTGTGGAGGAAAACCACAAAACACGAGCGTGAAATTAAAGCAACGTCAGTCAAACGCTGAACTAAATTAACAACGTGACAAGATTAATCAAGATAATTTCATTTACGGTCTGTAGATTATCTGTTAAGCCCTTTTTGTTTTTGTTCATTCATTTTCCTTCAGTTTAGTCTATTTCAGAGATCTCCACAGTGGAATGAACCACCAACTATTCCAGGATATGTTTTATGCAGCGGATGCCCTTGCAGCTGTAATCCATTATTGGGAAACACCCATTCACACTCATTCACACACACTAATACACACAAAAATAATTGTCGCCACACTGCCCCCTAGTGTTCATTTCACCCAGAAACTGCAGTCAAACATATGTTCAAGTACGCTGTTTGCAGTCTTTCACAAAAAAATAGACCGAGGCATACGTGAGTATCTGAAAATGACAGTTCTATCCTCTTAACCAGCTCACACACCGCTAAACCTGTCTTAAATTTAACCTCGACAGCAGCAAAAATGTCCTGCGATACATCATGAGCACACAGCAGGTCCTTTAAAGCAGACGCTTGATCTGAATACACTTTTCGTGTTGGAAATACAGACACGGCCTTGAAGATACGACTGAAAGACAGCCTGCAGATAAAGACATGATGAGTTCTCCCTCACCGGCGATGATCACAGAGGCTCTCTGCGTGGGTTTCTGTCCTTTCTTCAGCCTGTATTGGTTCATTTCATCTTCGATCTCCTGCAGTTTCTGCATGGCGTCCAGACAGTTCCTCCGTCGTTTTTTCCGCACTAATTTGGAGATGTCAGGCTCCGCCGCGAGCTTCTTGGCCGCCTCCACGATCTTCTGCTGCAATGCAAAGCGGCTCTCCAGATTTCTGAGATACGGGTCCTGGAGGATGAAGAGTCGTTTAATAGATCTGTCTATTCATAAACATGTCAACAAATGCTAATATGCACACATGTTAATGTTAGCACTATTAGCTTTCCTAAAATATTAGCATTTTTTGCAGTGTATTATAACAGGCTTCATCACACAGTTGATGCTTTCAGATTTCCGAGAGCTGCTTTCGTTAGTTGTTTTGTAATGTGGGTAACAATTTCAGCTATTATCAATAATATTATCGAAGCTCAAGAATAACTCACACCCATAATTAACTGCAGTTTTGAAGCAGTGTGTAGAAACCTCAAATCTAAAATGAATAAGTGCATGCTATAAATGTCACTGTGCGTCTTTCAGCCCATAAAACAAAACAAACCGATCAGGGTTAGTTTTAACAAACCGATCAGGGTTAATCTTGTGGCTTTTTCCGACACTGACCTTTAATGCAAGCCCACATGCTGGAGTTTGTTTGCTTATTTATTAATTTATTTGTTTATTAAGTTGTTTGTTCGTTCCTTTATTTATTGATTTGTTCATTTTAATTGATTTATTGATTTATTCGTTTAATTGTTTATTTATTTATTTTTTCATTCATACATTCGTTCATTTGTTTGTATCTTTATTTTTTCGTTCATTTGTTTATTTATATATTCACTCTTTCATTTTAGATTTTTGGTTATTTATTGTATTCGTGTGTTTATTCATTCATTTTTTCATTTGTTCATTTGTTTGTTTATTTATTCTTTCGTTCATTTGTTTATTTAATAGTTTATTAATTTTTTCATGTAGTCATTAATTTTTTCATTAATTTTTTTGTTTAATTTTTTGTTTGTTCACTTGTGTATTTATTTATTTATTCATTCCTTGGTTTATTAATTCAATCATTTATTCATACATTTATTTATTCAGTTATTCATGAATTTTTTCATTCATTCATTTGTTTGTTCGTTTGTCTATTTATTTGTTTGTTCATTTATTTATTTATTCATTTATTTAATTATTTATTTAGTTGTTTATTTATTTTATTATTTAGTTGTTCATTTATTTATTCATTTATTTATTTAGTTAGTTAGTTGTTTATTAATTTATTTATTTATTCATTTATTTATTCATTCATTTATTTATTTATTTATTTAGTTGTTTATTTATTTATTTATTAGTTTGTTTTTTATTCTTTCGTTCATTCTTTATTCATTCATTCATTAATTTGTTTTTATTTGTTTATTTATACATTTTTTATTCATTCATTTATTAATTCATTCATTTGTTTGTTTTTGTATTTGTTTGCTTATTCATTTGTTTGTTTATTTAATTATTTATTCATTCGTTTTTTTATGTATTGATTTTTTTGCATTCCTTCATTCCTTTGTTTATTTATTCTTTTGTTCTTTCATTTAATTAATTATTCATTCATCAATTCCTTTGTTTATTTATTTATTTGTTTATTCATTTGTTTATTTATTTATTTGTTTGTTTATTCATTTGTTTATTTATTCATTCATTCATTTGTTTGTTCATTTTTTTGTTCATTCAATTATTTGTTCAGTTGTTTAGTTTTTCATTTATTAATTTGTTTGGTTTTTTGTTTATTTATTCTTTTGTTTGTTCATTTAATTATTTATTCATTCATTCCTTTGTTTTTTATTTATTCATTCTGTCAATTAGTCAGTCAGATGAGCTGCAGTCTTTCAGTAATACAGCCAAAGCCTCAGGGTCTGATATATTACTCAGTCCAGGAAACGTCACTGTGTGTTTCAGACTCACCTCATTATATGGGAAAAGGTCGTCCAGTTTAAAGGCCGTCCCGACTCTCCTGCGCACATGAGGAGGGGTTTCTCCTTTAATAAGCGGATACTCTTTCGGGAGTTTGCCAGTGAGTTCCTGGTGATAAAAAAATAAATAAAGATCAGATCATGTATACTGTAAATGGGTGAAAGTCACAGGAAAAAACATATTTTAGACCAAAATTACAATAAAAATATATATATGTTTTGATTTATATTTATTTATATGGATACAGTTGAAGACAATATAAGAGAATTAATGACGTGTTAATTATTTATTTTAAAATAATTTCATTTAATCCATTTATTTTATTTGTCAATGTGTTCAATATTTACCTGAAACTAATTCTGCTTAATTCAAATATATTATTTTATAAAATAAATGAGTCTAATTATTTTATTTGTTTACATGTTCATTATTTATCTAAAACTAATTTCATTTAATCTGATTATTTTATTCAGTTTTTGATTTGAGAGAATGAATACAGACAAAACTAATACATTTTCACTGGCAAAGAAAAAACTCTTGTTAACAGAATTATTGCAAAATAAATCTCATCATGTCTATTGAAGTAAACAGCGCACAGGCTATTGGATGTTATTCATCAGACTACATTTTTAGTTTGAGTACAGAACAAATAGCACACAAATATTGGCTTTCTCTTACGGCTTCCCGCAGGCATATTTCCTTCAGCTCGGTCAGTTTTTGGCTTAGTATGTCCTGAATGTCTCGCTCCTTCTTTCTCAGCTCCGCAAGCTTCTCTTTTTTCTGCTCGTCGTTCATTTCTGAATCAGCCGAACCTGTGAAACAATCAATGCATCCATAACCGAGGAAAATATAAAGAGTCCAGCACTGAGTCCAAACTACACACGGCAAGCATCCAGTGACAAGCAACTTTTCTGTCTGTCTGACATAAACATTTAAACAGCAGCCACTGCACTCCTAATGAAATGGTTTGAATCTGATGAATACACATTAAAGCTCTTCAGCATCATTAATAGGCTACTGAGTGACTGATGCTGTCACAATTTCTGACCTTCATTGTCAAAGCATCTGCTAGTTATTTTATTTTCCAGATGTGAGGTGAACTGTCTGCTGCTGCCTTTAGTCCTATGGCAATAACACTGGGTGCATTTCACACTGAACAAAGCCCATAATCAGTACCTGAGGGGTTCTTTGTCATACACTGCAAAAAATGCTTTTCTTGCTTAGATTTTTTGTCTTGTTTCTAGTCTAAATATCTAAAATTTCTTACATCAAGAAGCATTTTCTAGACAAGCAAAACATGTTGTCTTGTTTTGATAAATAAAATGGCAATATTAGGTGACTTTTTCTTTAAAACAAGCAAAATAATCTGCCAATGGGGTGAGCAAATTAATCTTGTTTTTTCTTTTGACGTAAGATTATTTTGCTTCCCCCATTGGCAGATTATTTTGCTTGTTTTAAGGAAAAACTCACCTAATTTTAGCATATTATTTCTGAAAACAAGACTACATGTTTTTCTTGTCTAGAAAATGCTTCTTGATTTAGGAATTTTAAGATATTTGGACTAGAAACAAGACAACAAATCTAAGTAAAAAAAGCATTTTTTGCAGTGTAGTAGTTTATGCTGTCATCTAGCTGCGATGTTGCAGAAATAGAAACAAAAACTTGCTTTAAACTGAAAAAGACATGCTGATGGTTTAATCCGATTAAGTGATCCATGCTAAGCTAAGTTAAAGCCCCTTTCCAAACCCAGAGATAGGCTGAATGGACTAAAACTTTCAACTTTACTGGTTTACTCCAAGATTCTTTTCAAAAATCTGTCCATTTCCTGATTAAGTGTAGTGTTTTTCAAGGAGCAGCTCTCCAGCTATGCTGAGGGAAAGATGTGATTGTGTACCTGTGGAAACCAGGCTGCCGTTGCTGGCCATGATGAGCTGGTTCTTCACTCCAGCGCTCAGTTTGCTCATCTTCGATGCTCCGTTCTCCGTCAGATCCACTGCGATGTCTCCTAGACTTCTGGCTGTGGTGATTTTTGCCTGTCAAATGCATATAATGAGAAAATGTAGACTTTTTCAGCTATTACATTTCCCTTCTTTACTACCCTGGACACATCAGCATAGACAAAAGCAACTTCCTATTTTCAGAGTAGAGCAGGGGTCACCAACCTTTTGGAAACTGAGAGCTACTTCTTGGGTACCGATTAGTGTGAAGGGCTACCAGTTATTAAATAACACATTTTTCTTGATTTACTTTTATTATATGTTATTATTAATAATATTCATCTACGTGAAGACATTGATCATGTTAATGATTTCTCACAGCAGTTGTCAACAACGATTTAACAAAGTAGATAAATATCAATATGCAACACTTCACTTGTCTGAAATTGTTTTGAAAGTTTTTTTTTTTATATAAAACTTAATGTAATTTTCAAATTTACACCAATGCAAGTGTGATTTAAAAAGAATACCTATAGAAATATTAGATGCATCTTACTCATATGTGGTGTTATAATGAGCTATTTTTAGAACAGGCCTGTGGGCAACTCATGTGAACCTGGCGGGCTACCTGGGCTACCATGTCGGTGACCCCAAGAGTTCCCACTTAGCTGATGATTGATTATACGCTTGTTTGGCTTGCTGTCCCGGGAGAGAGCCCGTTTGCAGGGCGAGAGGGGAGCCTTGAGCTCAGGTAGATCTCGACAACTCCCCCTTTGATGACTAAAATGATTGCTATGAAGAGATGTGCTGCAGGATGAGAGCTTGACTGTAGTGCTAAATTTAGGCTGATCAATTCACTCGTTGTGCATGTTTTTGTAATGTGGGGGGGAAACTGGAGAACCCGGGGAAAACCCATGCGAGAACGGGAAGAACATGCAAACTATGCACAGAAACGACCGCCGGCCTGTTTAAGGGCTAGAACCGGTGACGTTCTTGCTGTGAGGCAACAGTGCTAACCACTGGGCCACCGTGCCGCCCTATGGAGGGAAAGGCGAAGAGGTAGGGGTGGAAGGGGGGATTCTGTAAATCGAAGATGACTGTAGTGAGTAACCCTGGCTCTTTATAGTGGGTTCGGTGAGTTTGGTCAATCACACATGCAGAACCAGCGGTGTTCAATCATGATCACGTCATCCTCTCCAAATTAGTTTATAAATAAACCACTTATTGCACGCTGAATTATTTTCGCAAGTTAAAAATAAATTCGACCTCTCGTTGTTTCAGTCGTATTGCGTTCACACTGAACGCAGTTAACACCAGCTTCTCGATGAGAAGTCTGGGTTCAGGAGATCCCAACTGTCCGGTGAGAACTACTTGCAGCTGGATACGTGATGGGAGAAGTGGCACATCGTATGCCTAGCGCTCTGTCCCCGGAGCATATTGAAGTCATCTATTTATTCCAAACTTTGATAACAGGTTTCTGCTGATGGGTTTAGGCGAAGCACTCGGGTATTGACGATTGATAAAGGCAGTCACTGCGGCTCAAAACCCCACCAAGCTGGCCAGCTAGATTAAAACGGTGGTGAGCAGGGTTGTGAGTGCTCAGACTGCGGATCATCTTCAGATGCCCTTCCAGCCGCAACCCATCTCTGGGAAACATCCACACACATTCACTTCATAGTGTTTGGTTGGGTGGGGGGATGTCCAATTTTCACTGCATGTAAAAGTGTATGTGACAAATAAAGACTTTCATCATCTTCATCATCATCATCATCCTCACACCGCCTCCAAAATGTTCGACTGTCATAAAAAAATTCTGTTTTTCCGCATCTAAAACAGCGTTTTGAGAAGGTGTTTTGACGCTTCAGGACTGCCGTATGAGTGAAAAGCAAAACTCTAAATGCCGTTAGAGAAACTAATATAATATGACACATTTTCTGTGCTTTATTGTATGCTCAGTCAATGCGCATCAGACTCGATGTGCAGCGTTTGTGTGCATGACGAATTTTTCAGATTTAAGTACGAACATTTCAGACTTCAATGTGCGAAGACTAAAAAGATTATTTAGGAAGATTATTGAAACTCTTTAGAGTTTAGTTGAGTGAGATGCTAATGGTCTAATCCGACTCAATGATCTATGCTAAGCTAAACTAAAAGTGCTCCTGCCAAACCTGGAGATCGACTGAATGGATGCAAAACATGGTAAAACTGAACTGTTGACCGCTGGAGGAGCTGTAAAATGAGCCTATTTACTAATAAAAGTGGAGTGTTACTTTAAGTAAAATGAACTAATTACTCCAAAACAGCAATTTAGAGAACAATGATAATTACGAAAACACTCCTGCACACACACACCTCAGTGGGCGTAGAGCGTCTATTATTAACAATAGGAACTGTTTCATTATTCAGGAATGGTGTGACTGAGGGTGAGACTGCGGTATTATATGTGTTTCAGCAGTGATCAGTATGTGTGTGTGTGTGTGTGTGTGTGTGTGTGTGTATGTTTCAGCAGTGATCAGTGTGTGTGTGTGTGTGTGTGTGTGTGTGTGTGTGTGTGTTGGTGTATGTTTCAGCAGTGATCAGTGTGTGTGTGTGTGTGTGTGTGTGTGTGTGTGTGTGTGTGTTGGTGTATGTTTCAGCAGTGATCAGTGTGTGTGTGTGTGTGTGTGTGTGTGTTGGTGTGTGTGTGTGTGTGTGTGTGTATGTTTCAGCAGTGATCAGTGTGTGTGTGTGTGTGTGTATGTTTCAGCAGTGATCAGTGTGTGTGTGTGTATGTTTCAGCAGTGATCAGTGTGTGTGTGTGTGTGTGTGTGTGTGTGTGTGTGTGTGTGTATGTTTCAGCAGTGATCAGTGTGTGTGTGTGTGTGTGTATGTTTCAGCAGTGATCAGTGTGTGTGTGTGTGTGTGTATGTTTCAGCAGTGATCAGTGTGTGTGTGTGTATGTTTCAGCAGTGATCAGTGTGTGTGTGTGTGTGTGTGTGTGTGTGTGTGTGTGTGTGTGTGTGTGTGTATGTTTCAGCAGTGATCAGTGTGTGTGTGTGTGTGTTGGTGTGTGTGTGTGTGTGTGTGTGTTGGTGTGTGTGTGTGTGTGTGTGTGTATGTTTCAGCAGTGATCAGTGTGTGTGTGTGTGTGTATGTTTAAGCAGTGATCAGTGTGTGTGTGTGTGTGTGTGTGTGTGTGTGTGTGTGTGTGTGTGTGTGTGTGTGTGTATGTTTCAGCAGTGATCAGTGTGTGTGTGTGTGTGTGTGTGTGTGTGTGTGTCGTGCACTCACTTTGCTCTGTTTTCTGTTGAGGTAGAACTGGTGCTGACTGATGGCCATGACCCAGATGGTTTTGATCAGGGAGTGAGTCGCGTACCAAGTGTGGATCACCAGTCCCGTCTGACCAAACGTGCGCTTAGTCACTGCTCGCCTGCACACACACACACGAGGAATGGTCAATAAGACTCACTCAAAACATTCACAGTCCAAACACACTGACAGAAATACATTTCGTGTGTCGTAAGCAAAAAATCAAACTGAGTAAAAAAAAAATGTAGCATCTGAAAAAGCAGTCTGAGAGGTGTTTTGACAGTTCAGAGCCACTGTACAAGCAAAAAGCTGAATACAGAATGCCGTCACTTGAGCTACACGTAACTTTATGACAAACACAGCATATAAAATAAAGACAGACTGTGACGGACAGTTGAGAACTCCTATATGCTGTCAAACATCCAATAAAAAATGCCCATTTCAGAGCACTTCACAAGACCTTTAATACCAGAACCTTCATTTTTGAGGGAACTAACCCTTTAATGCTACAGCTTATGCACACACACACACACAGATCTGCGCTCACCTGTGAGGGTCATTGACTTCCACAGCAAACTTCTTCTCTCTGAAATACAGGTTTTCCAGCTGTTTCCACTGGAAGAGCTGAAACAGGAGATTCAGTGTTAAATCTCACAACAACAACACACACAACCTGATTTTAGCATTCATTCAGCTCTGCAGACATGCTTTTCTTAATCAGAATCAGAATCTTTATTGTCATTGTACAAAATACAACGAAATTTACGTTTGCCCTTCCCTTTAGTGCAGTCCTCTTGATCTAAAACAACAACAATAATAATAAAGAGAAATAAATAGATAAAATGGCAACAATAATTATTCATTAATACTAAAAGTGCGTATGATGTGCGTATAAAGTGGCAAGTGCATTTTCTAGCAGCTTTTTTTCTGTGTGGAGTTTGCATGTTCTCCCCGAGTTGATGCTACAGGTGAATTGGGTGGGCTAAATTGTCCATAGTGTATGTGTGTGAATGAGTGTGCATGAATGTTTCCCAGAGATGGGTTGCAGCTGGAAGGACATCGGCTCTGTAAAACATATGCTGGATAAGTTGGAGGTTCATTCTGCTGTGGCGAACCCGAATTAATAAAGGGACTAAGCTGAAAAGAAAATAAATGAATGAACAATATTAACAGTAATAATAAAAAAGTAATAGTAATAATATCAATAATAGTAATAATAATAATATCCATAATAGTAATGTTTTAGAACAGAAAGTCAGCATCATTCATTCATTTTCTTGTCGGCTCAGTCCTTTTACTAATCTAGGGTCGCCACAGCGGAATGAACCGCCAGCTTATCCAGCAAGTTTTTACGCAGCGGATGCCCTTCCAGCGGCAACCCATCCCTGGGAAACATCCACACACACATTAACACACTCATACACTACAGACAATGTAGCCTACCCAATTCACCTGGAGGAAACCCACGCGAATGCAGGGAGAACATGCAAACTCCACACAGAATTGCCAACTGAGCCAAGGCTCGAACCATATTAATACTTTCAACAGTAATAATAATAAAAATAACACTAATAATAATAATAACACCAATAATAATAATAATAATAATAATAATAATAATAATGATAATAATAATAACAATATTAATAATAATATAAAAAATAACAATAACAGTTATAATATTAATAATAATAATAATAATAATAATAATAATAACAACAGTTATAGTAAAAAATAATATCAACAGTAATAATAATAATATTTTCAACAGTAATATAAATAATAATTTCAATAATAATAATAATAATATTTTCAACAATAATATAATAATAATAATAATAACACCAATAATAATAATAATAAAAAAAATAACAATAACAGTAATAATAATAATAATAATAATTATTATTATTATTATTTCAAAAGTAATAATAATAATAATAATTTTAACAATAATAATATTATTAATATTTTCAACAGTAATAATAATAATAATAATAATAATAATAAAAATAATAATAATAATAATTTCAACAATAATAATATTATTAATATTTTCAACAGTAATAATAATAATAATAATAATAATAATAATAATATTTTCAACAATATTATTAATAATAATAATAATAACAGCAAAATTAATAATATTGTTTTTGAACAGAAAATCAACATATTAAAATCATTTCTGAAGATTCGTGTGACTGGTAATGATACAAAAAAAGAAGCTTTGAAATCACAGAAATAAACTACAATTAAAATATATTAAAATAGAAAACAATTATTATAAATAGTAAAAACATTTTAGAAATGTGTACTCTTTTCACTGTACTGTGGATCAAATAAAAGCAGGCTTAATGAGCAAAAGAAACTTCTTAAAAAACATTTAAAAACTCATTACTGTTGACCTGTAGTGTTTACAGTACACATACAGTAGTCAACATTTCAAGTAGATCAAACCTTTCATCAAAGAAGTTGTCCTAAAACTATTGAACAGCACCAATTCTTCTTAGTCTTAGTTCTTCAGCTTTGGTTTATTTTGATCCTCTTCAAATGCTGACCACTGTATATACATATGGATTTAATAATCCCAAACATTTAACAAATACACATTTCATTTAAACATCCCCATTTTGACCATACATTTATTAGCACACAGGCATTTATCTATCTGCTAATATTAATCATCATTCTAGCACATGGTAAACAACACTTTCTCCTCCAGCACATCTGAGCGAGGGCGTCTTCAGTTCATTCCCCACTCTCTCAAGACTTGATGGTCAAATTAAATTATCTGGCTTTCAGAGCCTCTTACCGGTGGTCGGGCAGGTTAACTGAAGTTAATCAGATCGCCAGTGTCTTCATTATGTTAGCGAACGCTCTGAAGCTGAAGTTTCTCCTGGCCTGACGTGTCTCATCAGGTTTCCAGCTCATGACATCAGGCAAGAAGCAGAGCTCAGGGAGGAGCCCGAAAACAGCCCAACACTTCACACTCACTTTCATGCCTTAGATAAGCTAGTGATGAAGCACACCCAGGGAGGTGTTATCGACTGATTAGCATTTATTGGCAACCTGATGCAAAGCTGAATACTGTAGGGGTTACACTTCGAAAACAACCATCCTGGATGTACTTTATCTCACTTATTGCAGAGCTACATGACATAAAATACTATCAATTCTGAGCCGTAATAGTTTATGAATTAAATTATTAAACACAGAGCTGACAGAAACTGCAGAAACTAGGGTATACACTAACCTGCGCATTATTCAGACACTAGATGCAGACAAACAGTCAAAAACACAACAGAAACTAAAACAGCTGATGGAGTATACACTAACCTGCACATTATTCAGACACTAGATGGAGACAAACAGTCAAAAACACAACAGAAACTAAAACAGCTGATGGAGTATACACTAACCTGCGCATTATTCAGACACTAGATGGAGACAAACAGTCAAAAACACAACAGAAACTAAAACAGCTGATGGAGTATACACTAACCTGCGCATTATTCAGACACTAGATGGAGACAAACAGCCAAAAACACAACAGAGACTTAAACAGCTGATGGAGTATACACTAACCTGCGCATTATTCAGACACTAGATGGAGACAAACAGTCCAAAACACAACAGAAACTAAAACAGCTAATGGAGTATACACTAACCTGCGCATTATTCAGACACTAGATGGAGACAAACAGTCAAAAACACAACAGAAACTAAAACAGCTGATGGAGTATACACTAACCTGCGCATTATTCAGACACTAGATGGAGACAAACAGTCCAAAACACAACAGAAACTAAAACAGCTGATGGAGTATACACTAACCTGCGCATTATTCAGACACTAGATGGAGACAAACAGTCAAAAACACAACAGAAACTAAAACAGCTGATGGAGTATACACTAACCTGCGCATTATTCAGACACTAGATGAAGACAAACAGGTTCTGACAGATTCTGATTTCTACTTAGTTTCCATGGCGACTGGCTTACTGATTATGTTCACCTGTGTCTGGTACAGTAGTCCATCATATCATACCTCTACATTTATGTGATAATAAAGTTGCTGTTTTTGTTTTATGTGCACACAAAAGTATTCTTGTAGGTTGATAATATTCAGATTAAACCACTAAACTGTTTTAAGAATTTCTTTTAGTATTTTCGGAACTTATGGAGGATGAGGGAGCTCTCTGATTTCATCCAAAATATATTTATTTATGTTCAGAAGATGAACGAATGACTCAAGGGATTGAAACGAAATGAGGGTGTGTGTTTAATTACAGAACTTTCATTTCATTGTTGGAAGGAACTAACACTTTAAGGTAGAGTATTTAGGTTGTGATCATTTTGTCCCTTCATTTGGCATCAATAAATGTTTTAAATCACTTTTTAAAAGTTTTTAATGACCTATGGAAACCCTTGTTTATTATTAATGTGCTACAACCTCACAAAAAGCCACACACCCAGACACACACACACACACACACCCGTACAGCAGATATTTTCCCTGCGTGTGTGTTTCGTCATCAGTTCTCTGTTCTCCTCTGAGTTATGTAACACACACAGTTCCCGAGCAGACAACATGTGCTGAATATAACACCTCATTTCCACATCGTCATCACTGTCATCATACCGTACATCTCAAGAACAAGTGCAGACATGCTGAGAGCACATCTGGAGCAATCCAAGCCTGATTTCACAGTATAGTGAGCTCTGACTCAAGATTAGCTTACTTTAGCCTAGAGACAGAAAAACTCCACGTACCTTTCGGGGTTTTACTTTATCCTGGTGGTCGTACTGTCCAATGCCTTTATAACTGATGCCCAGCCACCACGGCATACCCTGCTTATCCTGTCAGATGAAGAACAAACACCAGAAGCAAATATGAGCTATTTGTACATTTAAATTAAATAGATTTAGTCAGACCAGAAAGATGGCACCAAAAGAAATGAACCAAATATGTTATATATATATATATATGTTTCATCATCGTTGTGCATGACATATAAATAATACTGATAGACTGTGTATAGCTTTTACCTTGACTTCATAATAATGCACTCCGTATGTGGGCAGTGACTGCACCAGTGTCATATACCTGAAACAGACCAGAAAATAGTGTCAGCACACTGAACTGAGGTGTGGGCGTGATGCGTTTCAGCAGCCAATCATAAATCAGGTAGGTCCTTAAGTGGGCGTGATGCATTTCAACAGTAAATCATAAACCAGGTGTGTCCTGATGTGGGCGTGACTGCCCTGATGTCCCGCCCCTAGCTTGTGTTTCAGCAGCCAGTCAAAAATAAGGTCTAACCTGATGTCCCACCCCTAGCACACATCAGGCCTAAGGTGTGCAGCCTAATCTTGGGCTGTGGACAATGTGAAACATTTATTGTTCTCTGATGAGTCCACCTTCACTGTCTTTCCCACATCTGGTAGAGTTACGGTGTGGAGAAGCCCTAAAGAAGCGTCCCACCCAGACTGCTGGTGCCCAGAGTGAAGCATGGTGGTGGATCAGTGATACGTTTCATAAATCAGCTCTGCCCCAATGTCCCGCCCCCAGAAGTGGGCGTAGTGTATTTCAGCAGCCAATCATAAATCAGCCATAATGTCCTGCCCTCAGCACACAATCCCAATGTACTCACTGCACTATGGCCTGTCCTCTGGAGATCCCCTTCAACAGCCTGTACTGCTCCATCACGCGCTCCTCACTGTACAACAGGACACAAACAAAGATGTAATCGTCTGTATACAGACTACGAGGACAGCACTGCAGATGAAGTGCCACTTCATTAATTGTTTTGGTCTCTATAACCAGCCCACTGCCAGTTTACCTTATTATATTTCAGCACTCTGGGTTATCTTGCAAGAAAATGCAGCATATTTTATTTCAGTCTTCAGCTGCCTTCATTTATTGCACATTTCGCTTCATTCCCGCCCCCTTGTGGAAAGTCATCTATGTTTGCAGAGTTGCATTGACTTCTTATGTAATCTACTTGTGTGAATGCTTTATGAATGCAACCTGTATGTGGATTAGTCGTCATCAGAGGGACGGTCTAAAAAAGTTCTCTCCAATATTTGGAATTTAGACTGCAATACCTAGTTCAACCACTAGTCAATCCTCTATTCTGCACCTTTAAAGAGTATTTTGTCACCATTAACATATTTAAGCACCATTAAAACAATCGAAAGCAACTTCGAACCTCCACCAGACAATATTTGTGCATTGGTTGCAAATTCGTTACACATTTTGCGCATTTCTGCCACCCAGTGGAAATTCGTCTTAGTTTGCAGAGTTGCATTGACTTTGTATGAAATCTACTTGTGTGAATTCTTAATTTCGATTTTGAATCTTGATCCTGTTATTGTTGTCAATCTGGCAACCTCCATGTGTGTGAGTAATTGTCGAAGGGGCGGTATGTCTCTTCACTATTTTGAATTTAGACTGCAATACCTAGTTCAACCACTAGTCAATCCTACATTCTGCATCTTTAAACAGTATTTTGTCGCCATTAACATATTTAAACGCCATTAAAACAATATATACAGCTATAGAAAGCAACTCCAGACCTGGATCTGGACAATATTTGTGCATTGGTCACAATCTTGTAGCACATTTCGCTTCATTCCTGCCACCCAGTGGAAATTCGCCTATATTTGCACATTTGCATTGACTTTGTATGTAATCTACTTGTGTGAATACTTCATTTCAATTTTGGTTTGCTTCTGTTGTTATTGTCAATCTGGCAACCTGCGTGTCAGTTGTTGCCGGAGGGGCGGTGTGAAAAAGTTCTCCACTATTTTGAATCTAGACTGCAATATCTAGTTCAACCACTAGTCGATCCTACATTCTACACCTTTAAAGAGTATTTTGTTGGCATTAACATATTTAAACATTATTAAAACAATATATACACATAAAGAAAGCAACTTCGAACCTCCACCGGACAGTACTTGTGCATTGGTCTCAAATTCATTGCACATTTCGCTTCATTCCTGCCACCAAGTGGAAATTTGTCTATGTTTGCATGTAATATATTTGTGTGAATGCTTAAGTTCACTTCTGTTGTTATTGTCAATCTGGCAACCTGCGTGTGTCAGTCATTGTCTAAGGGGCGGGGTTTAAAAAATCCCTCTTTGATATTTTGAATTTAGACAGCAATACCTAGTTCAACCACTAGTCAATCCTACAAACAGCACCTTTAAAGAGTATTTTGTCACCATTAACATATTTAAACATCATGAAAACAATATATACAGCTATGGAAAGCAACTCTGTATTCATAAATTATAGTTATGTGTTATTTAATACGTCATTTTTGCTTCATTATGTAAACTTCAAACTTCTTCATTATTAGTTTTTTTCTATGGAAGCAAAACGCACATGATATTAAGACAGAGTGTTGTAAAGCTCTCCTGCATAGCCTGCATATATGTATTAAATTTATAAATCAGTTTTCTATTATAATATGCTGTAAAATGTCATTTGTTTATGTGATCTGAAGGCTCATCCTTTATCAAGTCTTGATGTCCCAATATTTTTGATACACCCAAAAAAAAACAACGTTCTCAGACAATAAACACACTGTTGTTAAGCATCATTACTCGGCTGTCACATGATCCTGCAGAACACATTATAACATCACGGCTTGATGATCCAGAAACATTCCTGATTGTACATTTTTAAACAGTTCATATTTCTGAGGAGACCTTGACATTTCCTAATTCACGCCTCATTTAAATGAAAATAATTTTTTTGAGGGAAAAAACCACCACTTTTGAACAATTTAATGCACCCTCGATAAATAAAATTAATAATGAAATAATAAACCAGACTCCAGACTCTATATTTGTTTAACTATATACAACAATGCTTCTCTGACTCTTAGTATATTATATACATACAAAGCTGTGTGTTTTACCAGTATGCCAGTGACGGATGCTCCTTCAGCACTTTAGTGGGCAGTACTGGAAATTTCTTCAGGTCTGCTCTGGTGTTTTCATCACTAAAACCAACACAAAAACTCCTCATCATGCAGACATGCATTATGTAAACCACATTAGCAGATGATGCAACAGTGAATTATAATTGCACCAGTAATGTGCACAGTCATATAACAAGTGTCATCATTTTAGCACCATGATTAGAGCATAAGCAAACTAATTACATACAAAATGTACAGATTATGAACTGTGACAGAACATTTTTGGGGATTAACTAATGCTTTAAGGCCGAGGTTGTCAAACTTTTCCCCCCAGAGAGCCCTACTGACATTATTACATTATTCTAATCTCATGCTGACCTTCATTCTCAATTAACAACCTTTAATGTCTTTTGCAATATCTCAGATTCGCTGTGTGGCTGACAGAGATAGATTACACTTGACAAGGCTACAGTATATGTAAGAACTTTCATTTAATAACTCATTTGTAACAGTTTCTTGGCACGAATGAACAGCTTGTACTAAAATAAAAAAGAAAAACTTTTCAATTCAGAAGTGTGAGGGATTTAATTAATCAGTTACTGATAAATTACACAACAAAATCAGTATCAACATCTCTTATATTACACATGTATAATAGTTTAATCTGAGTACTTATATGGATTACATTTAGATTACATTTTGTGCTTACCAATCAGTTACTGAACACAACATAATCTGAGTACTTGCATAGATTACATTTAGATTACTTTTGTGCTAACCAATCAGTTACTGATTACAATTTATAAGAAAACAAATATGTATTCGGTAATATAATCTCTTAGACTGCACTCTTATGTTAACGCAATCTGGGCATTTACATGGATTACATTTAGATTACCTTTGTGCTAAACAATCAGTTACTGATTACAAATTACTGGACAAAATATGTAGTCAGCAATACAATCTCTTAGATTACACATGGATGGTAACATAATCTGGGTACTTATATGGATTACATTACTTTCTGTACGAACTAATCAGTTACAGATTACAGCATAATCTAAGTACTTGCACAGATTACTTTAGATTACTTTTGTGCTAACTAATTTACATTTAGATTGATGATTGCTTATAATTTTCACAATAATGCTAAATGAGCTATTCTGTTCTTTAATGTCATTGTGTCATGCAAAATAAAATAAAAACAAGCATTAAGTTACTTTAATAAGTGCAATTCCCTGAATTGCCACTGGCGTCGCTAATAACAGTTTCTAAAATCTACACAAAGAACTTTTAAAGGTGCAATACACTGTTAAGTTGAGTTAATTTTGCAAATGATTATGCACATATTTATGTAATTTTAAGGCAACAGATGTACGCATTTTTGGTAAAGTCAACAAAAGACTTTTACATTGCATATTAAAAATGCTTAAGACCACAGTGCCAAAGCACACATTCAACCAATCAGCAGTAAGAGGCGTGTCTAGTAACTATAGGGGAGATTTTAAACAGGGGCGTGGTCTTGTTGGGTTATGGGTGTGTTTGTTTTGGTGCTTTTAAACATCAACATTGTGAGCCATACGTCACCTTTAATAGTCATTTTAGTTTTTGTAGACACAATCCAAGAAACATATTTACGCTACCAAACTCCTGCAATGCTTCATAATAGTGCTATGAGTAAAAACTTGTCAAAAATACAAATGTTTGGTAAATAAGTATAATAAATCTCTGAAATTATAAAAAGTCCACACCTTGTATAGTCTCCTTTAGATTCCTGTAAAAGAAAATAAACATTTATTATATATATATACATAATATTTAATTTAATATGTATATCACAGACAGGTATCGTTTTCTCTTTTATGCCAAAAATTAATAGCATATGAAGTAAATATCTTCTTCCATATAATGAATCTGTCAATTTACTACAGTAAATATATTAAATCATATTTTTATTAGTATTGTACATTGCAATTTTCACAGTATTTAGATTTTTATGAACTGTCAGATATCAGATATTTAAATATTTGTTCCTTAAATATACCAAAACTATTGCCCAATCCTAAAAAAAGATATACAAAGCTTAACATGTTATGTACATATCAACTGCTACATATAATAATTCTGATGATAGTCTTACCTGCAATGCATGAGCTGCTAATTTAAAAACCAGCTCACTCTCCACCTCGATGTCACCCTGTTGACAAACAAGCACATCTTCACTTCAGGACATCACCTTTATATAAGTGCTGTGAATAACAATGCTCTGAAATCATGCTCATCACATTTGTCTATTAAAATTATGAACAAATGTGTGCTGCAGGTGAAGAAACAATATTGTGTGTGATATTCATGTTTCGGGCCTTGAATTGTTTTGGTGAGATGGCTGAGCTCATAAATATTCATTAGGGTATAAACTAATCAGTTAAACTGATCTTTTGATGTTTTCAAAATATACGTAAATAAACAGGCGGATATGTGAATGAAATAGTCAGTGTAATATAAGCCATTGTTTGTCTGGGATAGAGATGAAAGACTGTTTTCTACAGGTGGTTTGGAAAGCCCACTCACCTGCGTGAGGCACACTCAGAAATGCACAATGCTTCGAGGTACTCCTGTGTCATTAGATACATTTTAATGACCGTATGAATTGATTATTTTAGATGTATTTAGTAGCAATTTTTGTTTAATTTTTCCATATTTTCAGAAATTTGTTTGTTAATTAAACATTTAAATTAATTAAACATTTAAATAAAGCAATTGCATCTACAAATTAAGTCCAGACTAAGGGCACATGGCTCAAAAGCATTAAGGCAGAGTCCGAATCCACTTTTGTTATTTTAGGGACTGAAAAATTTGCTGTGCGCCCGGTGCATGGTCTAACAGGGCTGGGCTTATTCTCTTAATGAGTTCTGGCTGTGTTTTGAGCAGAACCTGCATTAAACCAAACAGAGTCTCGTCTCTCATTCCCTTTAAGAGTCAGTTGTGTCACTCCATGGTGCATTTGCTATTTACATGGCGAATCTGTAAGTGTGAAAACATTTCACTAGCAAGAAAACAGTTAAACAGAGCATCTGCAGCGCGAGGATAAAGAACGAGCCTCCTCCATTCAGCCTCTTTACTTTACTCCCTCACTTTACTCCTTTACTTTAGTGGAGTGAGGAAACGGTGGAAGCTCACTCCACTGAACACATCCATTAGCCCACATATTTAATTTCCTTTGTTAAGCGCAAAGATTTGCTTCAAAACTATTTCTAAATTCAGTTCTAATCTCCAGCAAAAGAATATAAGAACAATAATAATGAAGTGTGCTCAGAAACACTGAGTTATATCCAAACACACGTCCTGTTCTTATCCACATGTGCTGATGCAGACGTCTCCAAAACCCCACAGCTGCACACATCTACACTTGTGTTTATTAAAGCAAATATAAATCTGCATATAATCAATAATACTGCTGATAATATTAACATTATACAGATGCAGATGGTCATGAATAAACTGAAGAAGCCCCCCGAGGTGAAGAAGACATGGAGGCAGTGCTGTTTATATTGATGGAGAAAATCATCATTTCTGAAAATTAGGGTTTCACTGGTCTGAAAATAGCAACAAAACGCACCAAACACGTCTTGAGGCTTATTGTGCTTGGTGTATGATAGAGGCCATCAGGTCTTCATTTCTGTTTTGTTTAATGTGGCAATATACCGTATACTACACTCTTATTATATGCAACTGCATTATATTTCCCCACTTTATTTATATTTATTTTTTTTCATTAGGAAAAACGAGAAGATGACACAAAATACTCTTTACATTAGTCATGATGATGGTGATGAAGAATCCTGCAAGAATTGCTGTGTAGTCTTAATTCAGGAGTGAATCAGTGTCTCTGGATAGTGTAACTTCATATTAAAGATGACCTATTATGCCCTTTTTACAAGATGTAAAATAAGTCTCTGATGAGTGTGTGTGTGTGTGTGAAGTTTCAGCTGTAAATAGCACACTGATAACCAGCTCTCTGAAATGGCTTTGATCCTAATTGTAGTGTTTGCTTTAAATTCAAATGAGATTGTGCTCTTTTCAGAAGAGGGCGGAGCTACAGATGCCTGTGCTTCAGCATAGTGACAAATTGAAAACAAGACTGATGTTCTATGCTAATGAGGAAGAGATGGTCACGTGTGTGCGGGGCTTTCCCCCTCTGATGACACGTACAATTTGCAACCCAAGCTCATTCTGAAAACGTAGTCCCGCGGACGTTTCTGGAGACAGCGGAATACGTCCCGGGGGGTAAGTACGGCCTCGTTTTTTTTTTCAAGCGAACGCTGCGGGGCGGTGTGACGCTGTTCCCTTTCGCGCTTGCCTTACCTCCTTGTGGAGGGCTTCCCCTCTGCAACCCGTTTGTCCACTCAGCTCAGCGGGTATGTCGGCTGGCTCGAGATGCAGAGAGGGGTCGACCATGGCGACCGGTTTTGAGTCCGGGGAAGAGCGGTTCCAGCATATCAGGTAAGACAAAAACAGAATCCCAAAAATTAAGTGAACGAGTTTTGTACCAGGGTGAGAACACGGTGAAATCCGAAAACGCGGTAGAATTAAAAAAATCAGGGCTTTTATTTTTTTGGACGGCTTTTGTGAACTGTTGCCCGGGTTTAGGGAAGCGAGCGGGCGGGCGGGTCGATCGGTAAAACTGGTTGGGTTCAGGAAAGGAGGAGGGCGGGTCAGCCGATTGGCCGGTTGCACAGTCAATCATCCGGTCAGACAGACAGCGGCCTCCGGTGGGTTCACGTGAGAACAGCGCGGGCGCGAACTGCACTCGCGAGAGGCGTCTGAGGTGCGAAAAAGCGAACACGAGCGGCCTCTCGCGGATTCGCGAAAACAAAAACTGCAGCCGTACATACCCGCCGGGACGAATTCCGTGGTCTCCAGAAACGTCCGCGGGACTACGTTTCCACAATGAGCCTGGGTTGACAATTTGAAGTGAAAGTTAAAAAAACAACAACAAAAACAATCATGTTCTGTGCATGATCGGTGGCATTTTAATATTGTTGTTATTTTAAGAGGGGGTTTTCCTAAAATCAACCACTTCCCAGCCATTTTTACATCGTGTTAATGAAACCTCTAAAATTTAGCGATAGCCATCCTTTAACAGTCTAAAGCACAGGTGTCAAACTTAGTTCCTGGAGGGCCGCAGCTCTGCGCAGTTTAGTTCCAACCCTAATTAAACACACCTGATCAAACTAACTGAGTCCTTCAGGCTTGTTTGAAGCCTACAGGTGAGTGTGTTGGAGCAGGGTTGGAACTAAACTGTGCAGGGCTTCAGCCCTCCAGGAATTGAGTTTGACACCCCTGGACTAAAGTCTTTGGCTTTCTAATGGTTCAAAAAATGGGCCAGTGTTTTTCCTCAGACACAGACGTATACTCACATTATAGATGGCTGACTTGGCGTTCAGAAAGAACAGCTCCACGGTCGTGTGCTCCTTCAGAAGTGAAATGCTCTCTATGTAAAACCTATGAAGGAAACGTGCTTCATTTATTATGCTGATGATACACGGGGCAGCTTTTTGAGCAATATTGTTGTGCAACTTTGGGAAATGATGCCATGAATGGGCATTGAGATGAGACAAAGGGCAATTAACTGGCTCAATGGCTTACAGATAAAGTATTGTAGGCGATTCTTTAAAGAAAAATAATGAATCCACATCGATCTGCAAACTAGGAAACTAGGACTGAAACGTATAATCAAATGATTAGGTTTAATCAATTACAGAAAAAAAAATTGTTGAAATTATATTTACAAATTAAGTTTATTGTAATCGATGCTTCATTGAATGTATTAAAGTAAATATTATATTATAGTATATCACTGTATAATGGTGAAGCGGGGCTATGTAACCACGCCCCTCCAGCTGTCAGTTTTGACGACAAACAGAAATGGTGAGCAGGAGGAGTCTGTTAGGGTGTAGTAACCCAGCTAACAGGGAACGTTCCCAGAACATTTACTAACGTTCTTTAAAAGTTGTGGAAATGTTAGCACAAAACGTTGTTAATAGAACGTTTTTAGAAGGGTCTCATAACATTGTTAACGTTCTTGTAACGTTGTAAAAAAACGTTCTTAAAACAAAGTACTTATGAAGTTATTTGTACTTCATAAACGTCATAATGTTGATGGAAAACGCTCTTAGAACGTTATATTTTGGTGGAAATTTAGTTTTTGAAAACGTTGTAACAACATTATCCTAACCTTAAAAAACGTTCTAGCAACATTAAGCAAACTGGACATTTCAACGTTCTTGGAACATTCCAAATAAATGTTCTTAGAACGTTATATTTTAGTGGAAATTTAGGATTTAGGAATGTTGTAACAACGTTATTCTAACCTTAAAAAACGTTCTAGCAACATTAAACAAACTGGACATTTCAACGTTCTTGGAACGTTACAGATAACGTTATGAGAACGTTCTTACAACCGAAATTTGTTAGCTGGGAACCAGTGGTGTAGTCCTAGAAAAAAAGGTGGTGTACTATTACACCCGACACAAATTTTAAATGAAAGTAGGCAAAGAAACGATGAAAGTCAATGTTTCTTCGATTCATTGGAGATTTTATATATATATATATATATATACATATATATATATATATATATATATATATATATATTTTTTTTTTTTTTTTTTTTACATCAGTTACCTGTATTTAAGTTAACTCAAAAGGGCCTGTGCATACATGGAAAGACAGCTTTTTAACTTACTTTCTTTACTGGCTCATTACTTTACATTTTATAGGTTCCTTTAAACATCAATCAGCAATTATTTTTAATTGTCACATTCGTGCATGCTTGTTTTAAACCAAACTATTAGGAGTCTGTCTTCTGTTGTCGCTATTATATACTAGTAGCTACCCCTTTAAATCGCACATTGTTATGCCATTTATGAGTAGTCTTTGTGTAACCCCTGCTGGCTCTACGCCACCCAACCCGCTCCGAGCTGGTTTCGAACCGGCAACCTTCCGCATGGGAGTCGGGTGCTCTACCAAGGAGGCTAAAGACCATGGCCTCTGGCGTCTGTCGCTAGAGCACCTTTTTTAGAGGTCAGAGGAGTGAGGTTTACCTGCACAGCACTCACTAGCTGGCCTCCGTTACATTTGCCTAATTGTTTTTAGTGTTATATACGGTATCGTGTCGTTCACTAGCGGCACAATTAAGACAAATGTGAAATACTGTTTTACAGGGGCGATTTTAGGATTTTAATTTTAGGGTGGATCAGGATCAGATCTTTTTGGGGTAAACAAAGAAAAATGCGTCATATATATATATATTTAAATAAGAATTGTAAGAAATAGGCACATCTTAACAAATTAAGTTGTGAGTTAAAAAAAAAAAACCTGTTTGGTATACAGTTAAAGGGGACGCAAATACATGTAAATTAGGGAAGTTTAATCAGAAAAACAAGTGAGTCTACTGAGGGTATACTCAATTATTGATCCTCAGAAGCGGTAATACCCAAACAGCTCATGGAAAAAAGTAAGCATACTGAGTATACGTGCGTATAGCAAGGACTACACCACTGGTAGTAACTCTCCCCAAACCCTTTACCCCATCTTTCTGAATGACACACCTACTTTACTACATCCAATCAGCTCGCAGTAGAGAAAACAAGCCACACCCACTGTTTTCTCATTTAATACTCAGTCTCTCTAGAAACAGCATCACAATACGAAACAAAGCAGCTTCCAGTTCATGCAGGCTTTACCCTAGTAAAAGCTGCATTAAGCATGCAGGGATGTTCTGCTTTCTGTGGTGGTGTGATGTGAAAACCTCACCTGACCAGGAACTGAAGGGCGATGGGGCCTGATTTCTTGCTGAAGTCGTGCTCCAGAACTCTGCGCTCCAGCTGTAACCACTTACACTGACCACTGCGAGAGGAAAGATCAGCCGGGTCAAATGTGCAGCTCCGCATTCCTCTCAAATGTTGCTAGAATTGGTTTGTATGTATGGGCGATATCTATTGCATCACCAAAAATGATTGAGCTCATGTGTTGTGCGGTCCATATATTGGTTATTGTGACATGCCTACAGTTGGAGTCAGAATTATTCACCCCCTTGTTTATTTTTTTTCCTGATTTCTGTGTAACGGAGAGCAGACTTTTTTCAGCACATTTCTAATCATAACAGTGTTAATAACTCATCTCTAATAACTGATTTATTTTATCTGGCATGATGACAGCACATAATATTAGACTAGATATTCTTCAAGACACTAGTGTTCAGCTTACAGTAACATTTAAAGGCTTCACTAGGGTAATTAGGATAACTAGGCAGGTTAGACTATCGGGGAAAAAAATGTGCTTAAAGTGGCTAGTAATACTAAACTTAAAATGTATTTTAAAATAATTAAAAACTGCTTTTAATCCAGCCGAAATAAAACAAATAAGACTTTCTCCAGAAGAAAAAATATTATCAGACACACTGTGAAAATTTCCTGAATCTGTTAAACATCATTTTGGAAATATTTAATAAAGAAAAAATAATCAAAGGGTGGCGAATAATCCTGACTTCAGCTGTGTGTGTGTGTGAGACATCATTAACCATAGGCACTCACGTGTCGTCCACATAGGTAAAGCCAAAGTATTCCTTCTCTTTGAGGTTGAAATGTGATGAGACCAAATCCAGGAGTTCACGAGACAACAGCTTGGGCTGCGAGCGGAAACACACTGATCAATATAGTGTGTGTGAGGAGGTTTATTGAGCACTATTAGCCTCGAGTGCACGAGTAATAGACTGCACTGTAAAACATATCTAGCAGGTTTTATTCTTCCCAGTTTATTTCTGCTACTGAAATGCATTATGGGATCTTGATCTTTTATTCCTGCAACTTTTAACCTTGATAAGTTGTAAAAAAGAGAACGTTTTATAGTGTGCAGTGCTGTATAGTGTGTGTGTTGGTTTTGTATATTACGCTACAGAAAGCTTTTATTAAACTGCAGCACGTGTTCTGTTATTCTACAGACTTATTTCTCTACATATGTCAATAACTAAAATGTTTGTTAAACTGTAAAGTTGAATTTACAACATCAGAAGTGAATAAAGCAGAGATCAACATCCCATAATAAAATTCACAGGTGCAAATACACCCAAACACATATATTTCACCATACCTGAACCAACATCTCCAGCTTTCTGTCGTCCAGCAGCTGCACCTGGCACAGGCGTCCCTCTGTCATCTGTACACACAATCATTATGACATCATATGATTGACAGTCACTGACTCCGCCCACTCAATCACTACAGTAAACATTCACTTAAAGTCGTCATGAAATCATAAATGTACTCCTTATGTTTTTACATGTATATAGCAGAGCTTGATATATCTGTGCATGAACTACAAACAGACTACATGCGCAGAAAACTGTTTGGCCAGGCTGTGTATTAAAGCTAATAATATCATAAATATAGTTCAGTTTCTTCCTTGCAGTGATAGTTTCTCTTCAAAAGACCTCAAAAGATTTGCTCTCTTTTGTTGGTGTTTATTTTTACTCTAATAATCCTGTCACCATTCACTAACATTGTGTGAAGCACCAAACACCACAGATTCAGCTCAAAATCTGCGTTAATGTTCAGCTGAACAATAAAAGGATGAGTAAATACATTCATTCATTCATTCATTAATTTTCTTTTGAGCCTAATCCCTTTATTAATCAGGGGTCACCACAGCGGAATGAACCGCCAACTGTTCCAGCATGTTTTACACAGCAAATGCCACTAGTAACACGGTAATCACTAAACATAAAAACAAGCCTCCAACTAATCAAAGCAAATAAACAAATCCACTACCAATAAAATAACCAATCAATCAACAAAATTAATAAACACACTTCCAAAAACTACAGACAAACTACATTTAAAACAAACAAACAAACAAAGAACTATCCCATATACAAACAACCAGTCCACCAATAAATAAACAAATAATACTTTCAGAACAAAACAAGACAGTAATCACTAACCATAAACACAAACATCTAACCAATCGAAGCAAATAAACAAACAACAAATAAACAACATTGAAAACAAACAAATGAACAAACATCCAACAAATCAAAGCAAATAAATGAACAACCAATAAACAAATCCAAAAAATACCATTAAAATAACACTCAAAAAAAGATTTTTCCAGCTTGTTCCAACTCTTTATTTAAAATGAGCTCAATCCTCACAATTGTTGTGTTTTTTGGGATAATGTAATTGTTTTATGTTCAATCAACGTAAAATTGTAAAAACTTTTTGTAAATTGTAAAAACTAATTGATTTGTGTTGGGACAACATGCAGGATTTGAGTGGAACCCAGAATTGTTTACAGTGCAACCAACCTACAAAATGAACAAACACACTTCCAATAACAAACAAACAAACTACATTTAACACAAACAAACAAACAAACAAACAAACAAACAAACTACATTTAACACAAACAAACAAACAAACTACATTTAACACAAACAAACAAACAAACAAACTACATTTAACACAAACAAACAAACAAACTACATTTAACACAAACAAACAAACAAACAAACAAACTACATTTAACACAAACAAACAAACCAAATTTAACACAAACAAACAAAAGAAAAACAAACTACATTTAAAACAAACAAACAAAATTTAAAACAAACAAATAAAAAAACAAACAACTAGCTCATGGTTTGTTTTGGGACAACATAATTTTTACAATGTAACCAATCAACAAAATTAACAAACACACTTCCAAAAACTACAAACAAACTACATTTAAAACAAACAAACAAACAAACAAGCAAACAACTAGCTCATAGTTTGTGTTGGGACAACATGAAGGATTTGAGTAGGACCCAGACTTTTTACAATGTTACCAGCAAACAGAATTAACAAACACACTTACAAAACCTACAAACAAACAAACAAACAAACAGCTCATGGTTTGTTTTGAGACAACATAATTTTTACAATGTAACAACCAACAAAATTAACAAACACACTTCCAAAAAACTACAAGTAAACTACATTTAAAACAAACAAACAAAGAACTAGCTCATGGTTTGTGTTGGGACAACATGAAGGATTTGAGTGGGACCCAGACTTTTTACAATGTAACCAACCAACAAAATTAACAAACACACTTCCAAAACCTACAAACACACAAACTACATTAAAAAAACAAACGAACAAACAACTAGCTCATAGACAAACAACCAATCCACCAATAAATAAACAAATAATATATACAGAAAAAACATGACAGTAATCAAAACCAATAACGACTCGATGGCATTTTAAAACCCTGCTGAATATTGTCTTTTTTTTTTTTTTTTTTTGCTATAGTTGCTAAAGCTTGTAGTAATAAAATGTAAAAGATTTGTTATGAGATGCACTTTAAACTGGTCTTTTTTAAATAGCACTGTGACACACTGAAAACAACAACAGGATGTTGGACGAGGAATTGAAGTTAGTGTGCTTTTAAATAGATAAAACATCTGCTAACAAACCAGAATCTGACACAACCACCAAAAGCTGCACAAAATTGCTTTGTTTTTCAGCTCAGCCACTGCTATAAACCCAACGACACACCAGAAATCTCCATTTACAACATTCTGTGGTGGAACTGATGCATAATTTCAGGAAACTCTTGAGGTGTTCTTATAAAAGTCTGACCCAGATGATTCAAAATATCAGCTTTTTTATGCTCAGGACAATAAACGTGCAGAATAATGCCTTATGCTTTATTAGGGGACTCATTTTTTCCAGTGGAAACTTGCTTGCTAGCACAGATCTGTTCTCTGAATAGCCGAGAAGGCTGTAATTCCCAGAGTTATTGCATTATGAGGGTTATAATATTCAGGGAAACTTTCTTTTCCAAGCCTGTAATTTTAGAAAAAGCTGTTTTTAGAAAAGGTCAGTGCATACAACAATGCACATTACATTACAATCAACAACATTAAACTGGTTCCACACGGTTCCTTCATGATCTTTATTGTTTTTAAAAGTTTAAAGCTGCTGTATGTCAGTTTCTGACTCTTCTAAAGCATAAACACACCACCATGTGTGTGCAGATATTTCAGAAACATCCTCAGTGAACATGTTTATCTGGAAAACAATGCTGAAGTCAGATATTCTGCTTTGAGGATGTGCGCTATGTGCCGGAATGTCTCTTTGTTTTGGTCATTTAACCCGGCCAATGTCAGTTTAGCCTATTATATTTAATCACCCGGGTTGCCAGATGATGGAAAACAGCGTATTTCATTCAGTCAGTCAGGAAGACTCTCAAAGTGTGTATCTGTGACTGAAATGCGACCTCTGGTGGACAGTAGCAGACTCTGAAATGAGATTCAGAGTTCCACATGAGGTGGTTATTAATGAGCAAATATTATAAATATTAGGAGCGTAAACATTAGGTGAGCAGGTCACGCTGTAGCCCTGTGTCCTAACAACACACTACATGAGGAGATTTGCAGTGATGAGCAATTCGGCAGTTTGCAACAGAGAAAACAGGACAGAAATGTAAATACAGCCATTCAGAAGCACAGAATAGTGCACTCACTGCACTCCAGCACAATGGTAAGCTTTATAACCTAATGAACACATATTAAAGCTCTTTAACATGATTAAATGTAGATGCTGAATCACTGATATGTGTTGGTTTGCAGTTCTGAAGTTCAGACGCTTTATTTGATTCTCCAGATCTGAGCTGAACTATCTGCTGCTGCTGTCAGTAGTCTGGCAATACATGTGATGTGAAATGACATTCAGACTCACATTATTAGCATTTAGCACTGAATAAAGCACATGAGCTGTACCCAAGCTGATCTGTTTATCCTGTTGTTCAACTACAAGAAATAAAATATAAATTTCAGGTGTTGGTTAGAACGAAAACTCCTTTTAATATGGCAAATATTTCTTCTATCGGGTGCTGTTGCTGTTATTTAGAACCCAACTTAAATCAGCCTTTAGGCTCGGCAGTCAGGCTCGCTGCTGTCAATCTGGCAACCTGCGCTTGCCTGTGTTTTGATCCAGGAGTGCAATACCTAGTTCAACCACTGGGTGTCAAACTTACATACTGTACCTTTAAGTGGATTGAACATGAAACACCTAGGCCCCCCCCACTCCCCCCCCCCCAAAATTGTGTTGATTAAGCTCATTATTAATAAGTAGTTTGAACAAGCAATGAAGATTACACACAACTAAAAGAAAAGCTTTTATTTGACCTGTTCTTCTTTAGATAAATATGCCCAGTGGCCTATAAACTGCAGCAATAATAATAATAACTACCTTTTAATTCAAGTTTTACACATTTTAAATACTTCTCGGTGCTCTTGATTATTACTCTTAATATGTTTTAGCATCTCACACTGCAAACAATGCTTAACTTACTTTGAGTGTAGTCCAAATATCTAAACATTCTTAAATCAAGAAGCATTTTCTAGATGAGCTCATAATATTGTCCTGTTATTAAAAATGAGTCAAAATCAAGTGTTTTTCCTTAAAACAAGCACAATATTCTTATAAACTAGTCGATTATTTAGATTGTTATGAAATGTATATTTACATAATAGTCTGTTTATTTGCGGTGGTGAACTGCATTATGGGATGTTGATGTGCTCTGTCCACTTCTGATGTTGAAAATTCAACTCTACAGTTTAACACAGTGACTTTTATTGACTTATTAGTAATAATATAATGTATAAGAAATAATATCTAGAGAAATAAGTCTGTAAAATACCAGAAAATGGGCTGCAGTTTATGATTGAAGGTGTTTGTAGCGTAATATTACAACACCAACCCAGACAATATAGCACTGCACACTATTACACATCAATAAAAGTCACTTTTTCACAACATTTTTAAGGTTAAAAGATGTTGTGAAGGAAGATCAAGATCTCATAATGACATTCAGATGCAGAAATAAACATTAATAATAAAGCTGCTAATTGCAGTATATTTTCAGAGAGTCTATCTGCGGTACCTGATAGACGTGTCGCAGGTAGAAGCAGGTCTGCACACTCTCCTGACAGCACCTCATCCTCCCAACAGCCCAGAAAACCAGCCGCCAGATGAAGCCGGCGGCCCGAAACACACAAACACACACACACACTAAACCCCAAACCATGGCCGCTCTGACGCCCGGATTACACAAGCGGGTCACACTGCACACACACACACACACACAGATCACTCTTTCAGCAGATCCTGATCTTTGCTCCTTCATGCAAAATCCACGAGTAGGTGAAGAAAACACTGCCGGAACATTCCCTATGAGTGTGTGCAGAGACGGAGACGGGGAATGTCCCTGCTCTGTTCTTTTCAGAGACTCTGGGAGGAGAAAGCTGAGGTTTGTGGAGACTCAGAGCTGCGCTGCTCTGCCAGACACCAGCTTTTTTTTAGAGAGCAAATGGGCAGTTGCTCACACACACACACACACACACACACACACACACACACACACACACACACACACACACACACACACACACACACACACACACTTGTAGAGCTATCTTTAAGGGGACTTACTTCCTAAATGCATAACAATGTTTATACTGTACAGAATGTATATTTTACCCCAACCTATCGCCCTAAACCCAAACCATAGGATACAATCAGCACTTTTACATGTTCAAAATACTTCATTCTGCCTGATTTATGAGCGCTTTTCCTCATGGAATGATCAAAATTAGCTGGTATTACATTTATAATGTGTTTTTGGACACTTAAAGGGCTTTACAGATGTTGGGGAACATACACTTGTACAGCCATCTCTATGGGGACTTGCTATAGACGTGATGATTTTATACTGTACAGACTGTAGATTCTCTCCTCCCCCTGAACTCTACACCTAAACCCAAACCACAGGAAACTCAATTGACCAACCCAGGCTCATTCTGAAAATGTACCCCTGTATACCTTGCCGGAGAGCACCAAACATGTTCCAGGAGCTACATTTTTTTGTTTTGTTGTCTTGAATCCACCAGAGGGCGCTGTGTAGACTACATCAGATCTTACATTTCTCTCATGAGTGCCATTCATAACTGCTGTTCTCACATTAATCCACCGGAGGCCGCTGTCTGTCACACACTCATCTTGATATTGGTGGATTATGAGGACTCTCCATATGGGTGATGTATTTTATACTATAAAAAATGCTTATTAAATGACCCCACCCATACCTCTTAACCCAGTGGTCACCAAACTTGTTTCTGGAGGGCCGGTGTCCTGCAGATTTTAGCTCCAACCCTAATCAAACACACCTGATCAAACTAATCAAGGTCTTACTAGGTATACTTGAAACATCCAGGCAGGTGTGTTGAGGCAAGTTGGAGCTAAACCCTGCAGGGACACCGGCCCTCCAGGACCGAGATTGGTGACCCCTGCCTTAACCTAACCCTCACAGCAAACCTGTAACAAAGTCTGAATGTCAGAAGAGCCTGCTAAATATAATTCTCAAGCGTTTTGACTTACAAGAACATCACGCATGTCCTCATAAACCATAATAGTAATAAGGTACAGCAAACTACAAAATGTCTCTGTAAACCACCATACCAGTACAAACAAACACACACATGCACACAAACACACACACACACTCTCTCTCTAACACACACACACGTTTGTTTTTGTGAATTGTGGGGACATTACATAGGTTTTCATTGCTTTTACACTTTACAAACTAGAGCTGCACGATATAGGAAAATCTGTTATTGCGATATTTAATTTATTTGCAGTAAATATTGCGATGCAGTTTCACAAGATGCTTGATCAGCTCTATTTGCTGTTTGCATGTTCTCCCCGTGTTGGCATGGGTTTCCTCCGGGTGCGCCGGTTTCCCACACAGTCCAAACACATGCGCTATAGGGGAACTGATCAACTAAATTGAAAATGAATGATAATCTTTGTTACACCTCCAGACATTATACTATTTCCGTGCCCAAACTCTCTTGAAATGCTCAGTCGAGAAGTTAAGACACATGTAGATGATATCTTTCCCTCTATTATGGTTCAACTCAGCTTTGACTCTATACATGACTTGTGTTCTGTAACTCCTGGTCAACTATAATTCAGACTCATCATTGCAGATCTTGTGATGTGACTATTGTGGATGTGCACTTTGCGATAGCGATGCTGAAACCATATATTGTGCAGCCCTACAAACAGTATTTTCTATTGGGCTAACCCCACCACCCTCCTCCTAAACCACAGGTGTTAAACTCAGTTCCTAGAGGACCGCGGCTCTGCACAGTTTATTAAACACCTAGTCAAAACTAATTAAGTCTTCCAGGTTGAAACCGACAGTGTGTTGGAGCAGGGCTGGAGCTAAACTGTGCAGAGCTGCGGCCCTCCAGGAACTGACTTTGACACCCCTGCCCAAAACCCAACCCACAGTTTTACTTACTGAAAAACACCCAGTCTGTATGATTTACACGCTTTTGGAGAATTGAGCATCACCAATGTCCTCATAATTCACCCCCTTCTTGTAATATCTGAGTCACACCTATGTCGTTATACACAGTCTCTCTCTCTCTCTCTCTCTCTCTCGCTCACACAGTTCTGCTATTTAGCTGCCCAAAGTGCAGGCCTACCACGTGTCGCTCCTGCTTCACTGCGAGACTCAAACTGAGAGGATTTACATGCAGCGCCGCTTAAAATACACAGCCAACAAGCCTGCAGATCCACAAGAATGTCTGTGGCATACAGGAGTCACATGGGTTTGACCAAACGTATTTAGAGAGAGGATTTATTCACCAGACTTCACTCATTTTCCTCCAGCTTAGTCCCTTTATTCATCAGGGGTCACCACAGCGGAATGAACCGCCAACTGTTCCAGCATATGTTTTAAGCAGCGGATACCCTTCCAGCCGCAACCCAGAACTGGGAAACACCCATGCACTCAGTCACACACACACACACTCATACACCTGAGACAATTTAGTTAACCAATTCCCCTATAGCGCATGTTTGTGGGGGAAACTGGAGCACCCGGAGGAACCCCATGCCTACACGGGGAGAACATGCAAACTCCACACAGAAACGCCAACTGACCCAGTCGGTACTCAAACCAGTGACCTTCTTGCTGTGAGGCAACAGTGCTACCCACTGCGCCACCGCGCCGCCTTCACTAGACTTATTCTATTTTAAAACTAAGAGTTAAAAACGGCAGTGAAAGTTTTGAGCTAATAGTTTGCTCTTAAAACCTGTTCACTAAGCTGCTGAGACATACAAATGACTAGGGTTGGGTACTGAAATTCTGTGCCACTATTGCACCGGTACCTTTGTAACCGGTATGTATCGGACCGAATCAGTATATGAATTTCGGTGCCACTGGTGCTGCGACAAGGACGTAAGAAGCATCAAGGGGTGCATCAAAGGCACACATAGGTACACGTTGCCACACCATCTCTAAACATTTAATCCTAAACAACTTTGAGGAATACAGACAGGCGATGTCAGCACACAACACACGCAGTACAGCGCATTAGGTGAGCGAAAGTGACTCTCTTCCGCACGCATGATCGCGTTCATCAAATTTGCTTAAACTAAGTGTTCTGAAGCGTATTGTACAAGCAAGGTTTCTGACACAGCAACGTGAAGCAGACGCTTTACAAAAGTTGCGTGTAAGGGGGGGAAACACGTCAAGCTTAATGACACATTTAAAGACTCATAATCAACTTAAAGGCAGAGGAATGCATCGTCTCTGACAGCTCCCGACATCATCTAGCACTTTCAATGAGTGCGTACATGGACACCAATGCTCCGATTTTTAATATGATTAATTAATTAATTAATTAATACTCTGATTAAGAGTCTAGACTACAATGTAAACAGTGATTTTTGATTACCTTAAAGGACCACAGAAACCTGCGTCGCAAAAATGCTGAGGCTTTTTCTTTCAAATTCCATAAAAAGCACACTCTTCCACCAGTCCATACTTAATGCTCGCATCAAATACTCGTTTGTTATTGGGGCATGAATGAAATGTTCCTGAATGAAAGTGAAACTGCAGTTAAATTTGAAAAATTAAAAATGAAACACCTGAAATGACATGAAAATCTGGAGGAAACATGGATATCGTGGAGACGCAATGACGTTAATCGAGCTATGTGCTGTACCATGTAAGACGAGATCAATAAAGGAACATTCAGAAAGCAGCTCATGTAAACACCTTGATCATATTAATGTCTGATTCAGATTAAGGCAAATCATTAGACGACTGATAACCATGTAAACATAGTCACAAAGCCCCGATCCTAGAGAAAAGGAGTTCAGTATTTTGATGACAGCCTTTCCACAGGTTAGTAGTAAGCTATTGTCATTTCCAGCCTGATCTCACAAGGAAACGTAAGTAGTTTTGTCAGTTTAGTCGCTAATTTAGACGAATTTGTTCAGTCGATTACGAGTACGATTTTAAAAAGGAGGCGTGGCACCGAACTCCACCCCTAACCCCAACTGTCATTGGGTGATGAGCAGATCATACTAAATTGTACGAAGTAAAAAAATAAAAAATAAAAAAAGGAAATATATTAATGTAATTCACATATATAAAATATCAATTGTTGTTTACTTTAAACTTTAATTAAATTGTTCTAATAAAATAGTTTTTTAAAAAGATTTTGTCAAATAAAAGACTTCTCTAGAGTCGTCCACCGTAATTTTGAGGCTCAAAAGTATCAGTTCAGGCACCGTTTTGGCACCGGTACCATTTTAAAAGTATCGATTTAGCACCGGTATCGAAATAACTCCAAACGATACCCAACCCTACAAAATGACTACATAATTTTGCTCTTAAAATATAGTAGATACATTTCTAAATGTACAGTAAGCTACTGTAATGATGACTTGATAATATAGAAGATGCTCACTGTCATTCACACAACTGCTAAACACCATTACGGTGACACACACACACACACAACACAAAAAATAAATACACAATATTTATGAACATTAGATGTAGCATACTCTCTAATGTACATCACTGCTGAAATAAAACATAGTAATGTCAGCAGGAGTTCTGGCAAAGTCAATCTACGTCATTCACCGACTGTATATATTAAGGAAACTGGGTTACAGAAAAGCAGGTTGCAGATTTCTCCTGTAGCATTTTTTACCGTATAAATCACGGCCATTTTTACAGAGCATGATCAATTCATTTTTCCACTCTGCTAGACTTGCTGGACGTGTTAAAGCATGAAGTGTGTGTGAAAAAGGGCCAGGAGAGGTTAACCCTGCCTCATGATTCACCGTTACTTCATCAGACGGAGGAAAACACATAATAACAGCTGATATATTTCTGACTAGGCAGCAGC